AATTTTTTATCTGTATAAAACACTCGTTAATATTTAAATGTTATAATCCGTTTCATAAATTCATTCAAGCAACACTCGAGAAGCAGAGAGCGCATTTTCGTTTAAATTTAATTGCACTTTCTTTTTCTGGCGGATGCTCATTGCCAAGGTAAATTTGCTTCTAATTTGTGTTGCTATTCTTGCCGTGACGTCGTTGGACGTGTTCCTCTCTGATTCGCGTAGATACCGTCAGGTGAAGCGGCGTCACCGAAATAGAATCAACATATTATATATGTAATATATTTTGTTCTGGCCGACTGACGGAGCAACGTACGGACTGCTGTAACTTGGAGGGGTGTGTTCTTTAATATATTGTGCTAACTCATGGAGGTAAAATAGGGGGAAGCAAAGTTTGTTAGTGATGGCCTGTCTCCTGGGTAGGGTACGTCTTTGATTAGAAAAAAAGTTGTTTTATTGTGGAAGATGTATTTTATGGTTTACTAAAAACTCGGTTGCCAATTGCCAAACGTAGGTACTATATATTTCACGTCTGCAGCGTTTTCGTACTATAATATATTAAAGAAATATAATATAGTACGAAAAAAGGCCTTAATTCTGACGTCTACATCGTGTTCGATGTACACAACAAGTAATTTTTTTTTACATACTATTATCCATTACATTCGCATCTTAAAGAACTATTCGTAACTTTATTTTGTAGAAGCGTACTATATGTTTTTAAAGAATTTAAAAACGTACTATATTTTGTCGAAAAAACCATGGGGCGCTTCTAGTGAAGTTTGATCTATGTTCCGAATGTTCGGTCTAATTTTGGTGACGCCGATATTCGCGTTGGCACGACGCAACCGATGCTACGCCTTTTCACGTCATACTCGCGGATAGGACGTCAGGCTGTCGATACCAAATATTTCAGCGCCAATATCGAAATAAACCTATTGGAGTAAATAATGGTACGTCAAACCACACGTGAATATGTATTAATATCTGTTTGTTTTTAACTGTCTATTTCTGTATTGCAACGCAAAATTGATATTCGCAAATAGACCTTAACGATGTGTTTGCAACTGGAGTAGATATTAATAGCTCAATAGTATTAAATAAGCGGGAGTCCGTCTTGAAGTCTAGGTAATAATCATATTATATAAATGAACATTACAAAATATACATGGGAAAGCTTAGAGTTGGTAACTAAAGGAAAGGTATCTTGAACCGTTTTTGCAGCGTTACGCTACGGAAACCCATAATAATAAATAATTTTCCCCCGCTATATCTGTCTTGCTTAAATTAGTCACAAGGCAATGTGAAAGAATTTTTCAATCCGATCCCGTAGTTCCTGAGATTAGTACGATCAAACAAACTCTTCAGCCTTATATATTAGTATAGATAAGCCTTGCATTCCTCTAACAGTAGTTAATGGTAGAATTCTTATACTACACATATCAAAATATATAAGTTCATGTATGTCCTTTTAATTAAGTTATAATTGTTTTACTAATTACCCGTATTGAGGGCGAGGAAGGCAATTTAAGATACGGATTGTCAGTGAAAATTGTCGATTTTACAACGTCGAGTTCCAAAGTCCTTCGCAACTCTGCCCGAGGGAAACAAAATGAGTAACAAACAACAAGGCCTCATTTCTTGTTTAACAAAGGGATATTACTTATAAATACCATCTAATTTTGTTAACGCGAGTGGTACACATTAAACAAAACAAGTATCAACGGTTTAAAACAATCAAAATACTGTTAATGTGTTCCACCATTTTTCGATTGTGGGAGTAAACTATTTTATTAATAGCCCTACTACCAGCCCTGTTAATATTTACTTAGTTGTTGCGCGTGCGCAGACCTTGATGAGCTGTACCATTTTAATACAACAGCACAAACGATATACATTTATGTGGCAGTTGGTGCCTATAATAACTAAAATGTCGAGATATCCAACACAAAGCTCTTCTACCTCACAGCGGTGCTGCTTCAGTATCTTTTAAATGGTCAGTCATATAGCAGGTTTAGTCAGCCAGATCGAACGTCCCAGTTCCCTGACCTGACTGCACGTCCTCACGAAACTAGTTTGAGCCGTCCCGAACAATATACACCAGCGCGAACCGATATCTTTGTTCGTATTTCTTGACTCGTGCCTTCGTTTGTTGCGAAAGTTCACTGGCTTACGACATTCGTGTTTATCGTATTTTACTGAATCACTGGCTGTTGTAAGTTTACACTGCTGTTACATCAGTTGTTTTTACTCAATTATTGGGAATTGTATTTGAGTAGATCGTCAATGTACAGGCCCGTGTTTTAAACCCGAACTTTTATTCCCAAACGGTTTTCATCGAACCCTACTTTTCAAAGAAACCGATTCCATTCTATTAGGTATATTTTATATATAAATAAACATCGTTGGTTAGTTTGAAACTCGCCACCATCATAGAACTATCGTCTACTTTGAGGAAAACTTATTTAAAAAAAATAACAAAAATTCCTAATACGAAATATAATTAATAATACACAATATCAAAACTATATCTTCCTCTGTTTAGTAAGTACGTTCATGCTTTGTATTGTTTTATATACATTTTAGATTTCGTTTTAAATATAACCTTTTATCCCTTACCTTGCAAAGATTAGGACGTGTATCAATGTATATGGTAGCTTTTTTCAAAACTTTAATGTCACAGTAATTTTAGGTTGCTTTAGTAGTTACTATAAAGTTACTAGAGTCACTAAGAATATGACTATTCTACATAGCTGCCCACTTAAATACTCTACAATCTAAGTGAAAGTATAGCTATAAAGTCAACAAGATGCGATTTATAAGGACAATCTATAATAATATATAAAGCTGAAGAGTTTGTTTGTTTGTTTGAACGCGCTAATCTCAGGAACTACTGGTTCGAATTGAAAAAGTATTTTTGTGTTGGTTAAAGCGTTTATCGGAGAAAGTGTGAAAAAAGCGAAAACAGCGGGAAATGTGGAAAAACGGGGAAAATTATTAATCTCTGTGGGTTTCCGATGCGTACGCTGCGAAAACGGAGAAAGATACCCAAAAAATATGTATGAAAGAATGTTTCCTACTTAAATGATCTAAAAAAAGTCCGCGAGACTACATATCAATCTTTTAACATTACAAGAACGACTGGACGGGTCCAACGTCGTGGGCCTTAGCTTAAATTTACAAAGATGAAATTTGGTTGCTCAAAGTTACAATTCTACGCGGACGAAGTCGCTGACACAGCTAGTACTACCGTGAATGTAGTTTTTGAAGACTCCACGTGTACTCAAAAAAGTCCAAAGTTACAAACATTAACCTTAGCACAGTTTAAAATATGTAAATAGATGTTAGTCTATTATCAGCAACTACGCAGTGCAGTGTGTATCAAAGCACTTCCAATATTGATCTAATAAATAATATAGATAGTGTTCGAATGAGTAACAAAATAATCAGTTAACTTATTAGTTAACTACGCAGTACGAGACCTTGCTTATTGCAATATTGTTCTTAGTCCTGTTATTGCGTTTAATTTCTGCTTTCAGAGAAACACTATATAGTCCCATAAAATAATGTATGGTTGTCGCTACTATCTGTAATTAATAGTACTTATAGGTAACTAAATAACTTTTAACGGTTTAAAACGCGAAACATTTAGTTAACTTGATGAGCACGGCCGCTGCAAACTACGAAGCATCCAAAATCGGGCCTATAAAAAAATTTTCAAATAAGTTTAACTATTATATATGGCGACGTTATTTTAATGGCTAATATTTTTTTTTTCATATCAGGACTGCAATTGGTTCTTTTATTATGTACTGACTGTATGAACAGGTAGTAATTTAAACTTAATTTAATATATGGCGAGTTATAAACCGTTAAAAAGTATACTTCATTACTATCATTTCTCAGATCAAGTTCGTTGCGCTACAAAAAAATATTAGTAATTAAAAAATAATCATTAAAAACAATTTAATAACCCTTAAAACTTTTTAAATTTTTTCACATGTTATTGCACCTGATGGCTCTATATGAATTAAAATAAATAGTGATATTTAACGCGCAAGTGAAAAACCCGATGAAAATAACCACAAATATTGCGGTATGCGCATGAGCATTTGACTGACATCGACGACACCCCGGTTAATTAATCGTCAGTCAAACGCTCGAGGTCTTCAGTTCTGGTGTGTTGCCCAGTTAATTACTCTTCAAACTTCGTTCACTCGACAGTGACACGAAGAACAGAAATGTTTTGCTGGCGAGTGGGATAATTCTAGACCAGGTGACATAAGATATAGACATAATTATTAAACTTTAGTTTTCGTATTTATTATCGTATTACTGTCGAATTGGATTTTATCTGTAATGGAATGTATATTTGTGTTTGTAAATAAATGATATAAATGGTAAAAAAAAATTTGCGTAGACAAGTATGTCGCTCTTGTATCGTGACGTAAATGGCGTATAGTATACAGAATTGCCCCCCTGATGTATTTTTCGAGCACGTTCAAAATAACCCCTGTCTCAGATTATGAAACGGAAATAAACAAATCGATGTTTGTTGAAAATGTATAAGATTGTGTTGTTATGAGTCATAATTATTTTACAATGCGTGTGACGCAACATCTTGTCTAGTGTTTTTTTTTTTATAACTTAAATTATTACTCGACGACCTCTCGATTTATAATTATTAGATTAATGATAAGAAATAAATGTATAGATTAATTTGCTAAACAAAATACACATTCGACTTATTTTGGCATTGGATATTTGGAAATCCACAGACGGAACACAATTAAACGACGGCTTTTTCGTCTGTGGACGGTAGTTCATGACCCAGATGAAATTTCGATATTCGTACCAAACATTTAATATCCAGATTACCAAACAACGTCCAACTTGGTGGACCTGGTGGGAATCGAACCCACGACCCGTTGATTTATTATTAACGTTAGACCACTGCACCAACGAGGTCCGTCAAATATTATATTATTCAATGCTCTTTTCAGGTCGACAGCGGCGGCGGTGGCTCGACCGAAGTAATGGTGTACTCTCTCGGCTGGGGCATGGGGGAGCCGGAGCGGCGAGGCGAGCGCAAGCGCACGCAGCCGCCCGCTGCTGCGCACACGCTCTCGCCGGACGACGGACACGAGGTGGACGTGCTGCCCCTACACAATCAAGTGAGAACCCATCTATACTAATATGATAAACCTGAAGGGTTTGGTTAAAATTCGCCTTATGTCGGTGGGACCATTGATTTATTATATAGGAGCAAAGAAATGTGTAGAAATTATGGAAAAAGTGTGAATTTGACTGTTTTTCTTTTAATTCAGACTTCTTTTTATAAAAATAATACAAACTGATTCATGTAGTGTTCATAGACTATTCTCTGCTAATCTATTCCGGGCTTCTATGAATCTGCTGGTGCTGTATTTTTCCACTACTGTACCATAACACGCCACGCGAATAGGTATACGCCGCGTTGTATTTCGATTAGCAGACGAAACGCGAAGTGATCTGCATCCGGTGTGTGTTTTGTATCACAATATTATTTTCCTTGGCTCTTGGCATTGGTCTTCACTTGAGATCGGTTTACGCCGATATCCGCATTCTCTTGGGACAAAACCAACAGCCGACAAAGTAAACATGAATTATTAATATTCGCTGTAATAGTACGTAATGTAATAAACGTAGATAAGTATAATTCAATAAATTACAGATCGATTATAAATTTTTAAAAATACTGGCTTGCTCTAGCCTATTGTGCTACCGTGTCAATAACTTGTGTGTAAAAATAAAGTTTTTTTACTTTTAATCGATTGCGTTCCAGCCAGTGCTACCATTTGACATTATTATTCTCGCATCGACTCGAACAAACAAAAGACGGTGCAAAATGTCATATTGTTATTTCTAGAAACAAACGCTGGCATTCGTTATACTTAAGTGGTAACACCAGACACAATGCTGAACGAATTTATAATACGTCTCGTCGTCGACGCGAATTTATAGGATTTTTATTAATGACTTGTTACTAAGACAGGCGCAATAAACAATATCTGCAGTTAACGCTAGTAGTACGCTTTGAAATGAAACACTTTAACGGTTTAAAACACGAAATATGTTAGTGAGACTTCTTTACAAAATATTTTTAACTACGGCCCGACGTTTAGAATGCTTTGCAGCAGCCTTTGTTAAATGGTTGAGAATGTAAGGTTAAATATATTTCGACTTTTAAACCGTTAAAGTGTTTATATGAACAGGCACAATGATTAATCGTATGAATAATATAATCAATATTTTTTTACATGCCGTTAAATTGCATAATAACATGACACGCAAAGTCAATGTGAAAATTTAAAATGCTAAAAATTCGTCTACCTTTGTTTAAAAGTGAAAACCTATTTTTTTATGTAGTAGATATAAGCTATCCTTTACAATGTCATTGGCATAGCCAGATTACAAAGAACTACATAAACAAAATAAAATACTTTGGTAACAAATAAACCTAACAATGAATATCAAATAAAAACAATAACACAACGCACAAATTAAGTTCCAATATTTCTTAAAACCCATTAGCTGTGTCTCTATTCTCGTTAGGATTTAAACTTAATCGCTTTAGTACTGATCTGCTTACACGTTTATGACGTACTTAGGACTGTAATAGATCCATTTTGTAAGTACTATTATAGTTTACACTCTTCAGGTACATATTAATGATTTTATTCATTTGTATAAACTCTTTTGTTCAAGGCATGGGAAGTGTTTTTTGTTTAGTTTAACGCGATAGTTACTCTCTTGGTGAGAATATTAGTCTAACCAACGGGCCGTGGGTTCGATTCCAATTGGGTCGAACCTTTTTTTCAAATCATCTTTGAATTCTTAAACGAATAAAAAAATCAATTTTGTGTCACCGCCGTCCATATTTTGAAGAGGCGTTTTAAATCTGTGAATGTCCAAAGAGAAAACTGTTCGATCGAATGAAAACTCTAATATTTGCATGATGGCATTATATTAGTCGATTTAATTTCCATAATCTTAAGTAAATATTAGCAAAAATCTTATCTCAGATCAAATGAAATCTATGTTTGTTTGACTCCTGTGTCGTAATAACAAGTTCTTAATAAACTTGCTTAAAACAACAGCTTGATGGCCAAAATGATTTAGTAGTCTTTAATCTTGTAAAGATACGCTAGATCGTAAACGTAATACAAGTAGAATTGCATCAATTCTGAGCGGACAATAAAAAAAATCAAGTTATTCACATTATTCATCAAATGAATCTCGGTATTGTTCCTTGTTCTTTGTTCTGTGAGCTATAAGTGACTAATGAGAATGGTAATGGACTCCTAGAGTCATAGTTGTGGAACGTGGCGGAACTGAATACCATTTTATTTGCTTCTAACGGTGTTTTTTGTAATTAATGGGTTCTTGAGTATTCGCTTGGTGAGGCTAGGTAAATATTATTATACTCTGATGTAAATATTATCATATCTTTTTGATAACATTGTTAAAATTGACTCGGCAGTTCTTTATTATAAAAGAAAACAAATGGTTTCCATGACAACTAATCGTTTTCTTATTAGTCTCGAAGACTGTTTATAGAAACATAACTACAGTAGAGTACTTTGTTACGGGATTCAGACCCTATTTCTAATTGAGGGGGCTTACTTAATATAACATAGAAAATTAAGTTAAAAGTAACAATTAGGTACTGAAAAGATAATTTTAACCGAAGTCGTAATTGTCAAGAAACATGAACTACGTTCATTCAATAAAATCAAATATTTGAACGGAATAACAAAAATGGGAACCGCGTGGTTATTTCCAGTTTCGTATTTTATTCCGTCGTTCACAGACAAACCGGACAGGTACGGTGTCGCGAGGTGTTTTCGATTACACCGGGTCAATGCCATCTGGTGGGACTGTTCGTGTTTTGACCCCCACTCTATTCTCAAATGCACTCTCTATTACGTCTATTTAACTACATCTGTCCCGCTCCCGCACTACGTCTTAAACGTCTGTCCCGCTTGCGTAATTCCAAACACAAAAAATCAAACTGCGGATCTCGCTACGTTTTGTTTTTTGCTGCGGCCATTTTGAAATTTGAATTTAAACAATGGTATTATTCCGTTCGTGTTTTTGTAGGTTATCGGTGGTTTTTGTTTATGTCACAATAAAACAATTACCTCTGTTATCGGATAAGGTGACGTAGATAAGAGTATTTAATCTCCGAAAATAGCCCGTTAAGCCCACGTGTACGTGTTTGTCAATAAACGTCGTGTTTAATGACAAGCGAGTCGGCTAGGCAACAATGTATTGCCTCATTGCTACTTACGTAACTACGGAAGGCTTCTGAGCCTACTTTAGAAAGCTTCTAGAACACGTTTAATGTAATTGTTTTTGCCACAGATAGTAATTGCGCAGTTCCCTTTTCCACGTGTATAGATGACCCATTAACTATTTGATTAATAGATCTGTTACACTACTCGGTTCTATAATGTTTAATATTACCGCAGATATAAAAGAAAGTTTCTATATGTCTGCCTAAATTATGTTAGGCAAAAAGGGTACTTACACAAAATTATAGATAACATTGCTATTCTGTTATTTCATAAACGTACAGAGTACAACAAAAAAATGTATTAATTTTTAATAACGTTGGCATTTGCCACTGCGCTAATAAAATCCCAACGTTTTGAACTATAGACAGTAACTTTGTCGACATTAATTAGTGTTTAAATAAAACACTTTGACAGTTAAACGTTAAAGTGCTTTATTTGAATGTACTTCTCGCGTAAACTACAGACAGTATTTAATAAATCAATGTTTTAAAAATAATACTGACAAAAAGTAAGTAAAATTTAAAATAGTAGCTCTACAACAGCCTTCGAGCGCTAATAGAGAATAATTTATTTTATTTTCGTATTGAATTACAATTGCGTCAACGTAAGGCGTGTAAGACTAATTCGATTATGCAGTTAATACTTTACAGCTAATTAAGCATTTTTTCATTATAAAAAAAGAAATTTTAATTTCAGTAATATATTGACAGGATGGTTACTCTAATGGTTGCAATGTTTGGTTAGATCAAAAATAGAATCCCTACTTTAAGTGCCTGCTCATCCAAAAGGATGGCACATAAATGATGCTGGACAGGGGTTTCCATCTTCATGCGCAAGAGGTGCATGTATCGATAGGTTGAAAAATTCGACGATGACGTGTAGGTAGCTCGAGTTGGTTAGAGCAACAGCACGGACCCTGTGGATGCGGGTTCAAGTACCGTCTATGTCGTATTCATCTAAAATCGATTTTTAGGTATCATCTAATTTAGGTTTCTAACTGGGCTACCCACTGTATTCCAGGTCGGCGGTCACACGAGACTGCTGGTTCTCAACGACAGCACTGTCATCAAACCGCTCAATATCAGGGAGTTGCATTTCTACCAGAACATTCCCGACGATATCCAAGGCTTCGTACCGAGATACAAAGGTGAGCATTGCAATTTTGGAGACCCACGTTTAATTTTCGCCCCAGGCAGCTTGCTTATACTTACGGACTGACCGCCAGAGGACACCTCTTGAGCAGTTTATATTTTTCGAGAAAAAAAGACCATCTATACTGTCTATTATAGTTTACGCGAGTAGTACACATTTAAATAAAACACTTTAACGCTTTAAAACGCGATATATTAGTTAAACTTTTTAAATATCTCTCGCGTTTTTAACCGTTAAAGTGTTTTATTTAAATTTAAAAAAATAATATTCTTTAATTATACTACTTCAATGGTTCAAAACGCGACATATATTAGTTAAACATATTTGAAAGTTATTTTAACTACGGCCCGAAGTTTCGGATGCTTCGCAGCAGCCGTGACTGTCTCCCTGTGACCCACATCATCACATTTGTGAAATGTGTACTACTCGCGTAAACTACAGACAATATTTAGACAACACTCTTTATATGTCTCTGTCCAGAGGTGTCCACTATTCGGTCGGTCCGAGCTTATATTATATCGCTGAATGCGTCATTCATTCATTTGCTCCATTGTTTTGATTAATTTCTATCATTTTCGTGTTGTTTTTCTATTTAGCCTTTTTTAATGTTTGATGTATCGTTGAGCACTAAGGAGGTTTTCGTCTTGTCACTGTCGGTTTTGTTTGCGTCACGGAAAATCTGGCGATGCGATTCGAGGAGCGATAACGTGATAGCGCTTATCATAGATAATTATTGTACTTCAAAGTTTATTGGCGTGGAAGCGAATAAGAGCCAATTCCGATAACGAGCCTCCTTATTGCTCAATTGTTGATCGTTTATCGTTTTATCAAAATATGAATACTGTGAAAGTTTGATGCCTGAGTGTCTAAGCAAACCCGCCGACCGCAACCGTTCAAATTTATATGTCATACCCACTTAGTTCAAGCCAAACTCTATAATATAAAAATCAAGGAAATCTAAAATTTAAAACTTCTGTTAAATGATTATACACAATAGTACAACAATGCCAATGTTTAGCCTAAAATGGGTTCGAGACCCTCGTATACATTTAATTAAAACGCTTTTAACGGTTTAAAATCGGAAATACATTTGTTATTTTAACTGCTACTTTACGGATGTTGTTGGTTTCGTGGTAAGCCGGGGATTCCTTCCCGTTAAAACTAGTTATATATTTCCAATTTCAGACCGTTAAAGTGTTTTATTTAAGTGTGAACTACAGGCAATAATATGAATTTAATAATAGATATATAATACATATATAAGGCAAAAAAATCATATTCAGATTGCAATTCGCCATTATTTATACCATGAAGTATAGAATTAGAAAGTCTTGCTGCGTTGCGTGTGAAAACGCACGTAGCTGCGCACACGCATCGCCGTACATTTTGTATTCAAGATCGGACATACTGGCTCTTTTTATTTTCTTTATCATATGCATTTGTAGATATCACGTTATCTATTGATAAAGTTCGAAATAACAACTTGAGAAAATTATTTTAAGGGTTCGTACACAAATGAAAAGAGTTGAAACGTACATAGACAATTTACAGTTCGTTTGCTGCAATAAAATAATAAAAAAACACTAAATATATATTAATAGCCACTCCAAGAAAAGTGGTTAGTAAATTTAATTGATGGCATAGAATATCCGGGTATTTACGGCGCCGATTGCATTAGGGTTGAGCCAAGTGCTCGCGGGTGGCGGGTTTGAATGCAAGAGCGCGAGCGGGAGTGGGCGAGGGTCAGGAACACAATATTAGTTTCCTTGTTGTCGCAAGGGTCGCGGCACGGCGGCGGGCGGAGCGAGGCCGGCTGCTCATCGCACAACCGCCCCTAATAGCGCCCTAGCGGTAATTTTACATTATGGGTTTGTAAACCTTTACTTAAAGCCTACACGACACTCGGACACTACGATGAGTCAGACCAACAATTTACAAAGCTACGTACAATTGAAAACCACAGCTAGTGACGTCACTTTGCGTTTATATAACTGGCTGTGTCAGCGACTTCGACCGCGATAGAATAGTCATTTTAGGCATCAATTTTTTTTTTGCAAAACATCTGTTCAACACTATAAACTTAAGCTGTCTCGTCGTTCTTGCAAGTTTTCCTTAAGATATAGACATATACTGTCGTGGACTTTTTTTTATACATATTTTGTGGATATCTTGAACCGTTTTCGCAGCGTACGCAACGAAAACCCACAAGGATGAATAATTTTCCTCGTTTTTCGCTTCTATTAGTCACAGCGCAATGTTTTGTAGCCTATAATCTTCCTCGATAAACCAAAAAAAATAATTTATCAATTCGAACCAGTAGTTTTAGAGATTATCGCTGAGATTAGCGCGTTCAAACAAACAAACTCTTCAGCTTTATATATCAGTATAAAATAATTATATGCTAAGAAAAAAATCATTGGTCTGATTCATTACACATGCACGATTCAAACATACATTACACAAGATAGACACAATGCTCACGAACACACCACAAAAGATATACAAACCCTTTTTACGTTACGTTCACTTGTCATTCAATTAACGCTCGCAACTTGCACGATAGTAAGTAAATATTACATTTGTTTTACTACTGTTTTGTTCGATTCACCTGCCATTTCGTTTGATCCGATGGCAGATTGACTTGTACCTATAACTAAAGATCCAATGTAAAGATACGTTGTTTGAACCACTCTCAGAGCAGCTAGTTATGAGGAGGCCGTTTGTTTCAGGCGTGATGCAGGCCTCGCACATGGGCGGGACGAAATTGGAAAAGCGCTACTCGCCGTGTTTCCGCGACGAGAACGGGCGCAAGCAATCGCTGACGGGCAAGCGCAAGCGCGACGATGTGTTCAAGTGCGTATCCGTGGTGCACGCGCACTGCCGCCATACACCGCCTCGACACTTGTCATGTGTCCCTTTATCATATTTCAGAATCTTTGACGTACGCCGGCCCGGGTTCCGACGTCGCCATTAATTCATACCTTTCTATACCGTTTTCGTGAGCGATGCACGCCACTCACACCGCGAGCCCAGTTCTTGCGTCTTGGAGTCGTGGTAATGATACAATTTGATTGAACAATATAACGATACGACTGCACTTGTGTTTCAATTTGCCCCTTCGTTGTCTTAAGCCGGTGAGCTTGCAATGACTCGTCTCTCTCTTGCAGGTTCAGAGTGCACCGGAACGGCAATGCCAGCGAAGTGCTCAAGAGCATTGCGCATATGGACAATTCCAATAAGCAATGTGAGTATTCTAGTACAATATTTTTAAGCTTAATGACAAACTAAACCCTCGATACTTCCGCGAGTCGCTATATAGCGAGAACATAGAAAAATATACGTTTTAAACAGTTGAATGCGTTGTTTGATATTAGCACGAATTAAAAACACATAGCATGTAGTTAAGTAAAATTTCAGGTCAAATAATTGTACTTCTCATTGATCACAGTTTTATAATTGGGCGGAGAAAAAACCCTATTACCATAACTTTGACATTATCGTAATCTAAGATGTTAATTTTACGTATACAACGTTTAAATTATGCCGATCTATCAAAATCATTCAGTTTCATATCAAACTTTGAATATATATAATCCCACTTCTGTGATAATCGCCACGTGACGGCACTTGGTAACTTTCTCGAAATTCAAATTCGCTTAACAAGTTTATAATGGCGAATAAATAATTAAGTAGCAAGCAAAATTGTATCTGTAAAACAAACAAAACCTGTTATTGCATGCAAAATATTTTTATCGAGTTTTCCTCGTATTTCGCAGACTCGATTCTTTCCCCATTCAAACTTGTGCATTTTCCTTATCTGATTTCATTTCGATCTACGGCTGCTATGTTAGTCATTATACAAACATAGCCCGTTATCGATTCGCTGATACGCCTTATCTAATGTTACATGAGATTAAGTAATTTCTCCGACCTGATTGATACTTAGTTTAATTTTTCCGTGTGATTTTTCACTTTTTTCCGTTATCGCTACATGACGTTACGTTATGTCCAGTTACTAAACCTGTTATACATTATTATTGGACATGAATGGTTTTAAAATATGTACTTTAAGGTTTTACACATATGTACAATTTTATGTATTGAGGCCCATATGCAATGTACTTTTAAAATTACATTTAATATAACCGATGCGTTCGGTGCACAATACACAATAATGTATATTGATTTATAATATCGTTAGATATTTCTGTCAGTGACCTAAAGAATATATAAAAATATAGTAAGATAGCGATGCTCTTAGCTAAAACATCTTAACCATTAAAAACGGTAGCATTTTAGTAAACTAATTTTTAGTCGCTTAAATTCAACAAATATTATACTCATTTACCGAATCATATCCCTCCCCATGACCACGGCTATTGCAATGCATCCGTAACGTCGGGCCGTAGTTAAAAATAATTTTCAAACAAGCGATATATTTTTTTTAGTTAAAAAATATAAATTGCGTTTTAAACCGTATTAAGTTGTGTTTTTTATTTATTTACAAAATCATATTAAACTTATTTGAGAACTTATAGAATGATAGTATGATATATTACGACTCATATGGTCTATAATCAGAAAAAAAAACCCCTTTTTTAAAAAAGGGGCTTTTTAAAATCTTTTTTTCAAAACACCGAAAAAATTTTTTAATTTAGTATCGATATTTTTATTTATTTCATCACAAACCTCACATTCCAGATTTCCTCATGATGGAGAACATCACGTCATCGTATCGTCGGCCGTGCGTGCTCGACCTGAAGATGGGCACACGGCAGCATGGCGACGACGCAAGCGCAGAAAAACGCACCAAGCAGATCGCTAAATGCGCCGCTAGCACATCCGCCACGCTCGGCGTCCGATTATGCGGAATGCAGGTAAATATACGCTTACACATTATAATACTTGCATACACATCCACTGACATATTTTCTTACTGTGTATAAGTTTTCTAATATTTTTCAAGGAATAAACAAAAAAAAAATATGTAAAACAATAGATGATAATTTAATTTATATCCTGGTGCAGTTTATAGTTTTTTCTAAAGCATGTCGGACATCATCCGGTAAATCTAATTGTTAAATGGTTATAGAAATATCGTAATTCCTTCCGAGTTGCAAACCACCGTCCACAGATAAAATGTCAGTCAGTTTGTCAGTTGCATTTTGTAGTATTACCATTTTACAGAAATTCGTCGACAGACCATTCAATTACTATGTAACTGATCTATTTCACTCCACCACGTCATGAGGCTCCGTGCTCTGTCATAAAATATTTGGTGGTACACATACCACGCCTAAACTTCAGACTATTCAAGTTCGATTAGTGAAAGTAACATACTATAAAAACATAGTATATATATAGATTTCCTGCTTATAAGTACTTATTACACAATAAGTCGATTACACAACCGTTTATAATTATGACGTTTCTATGTGACTAATTAGTAGTAATGATTGGTCTGTGTAAAAACGTTTTTTTACACATTTTAAGGTTCTATCTATACTTATATATGAAGCTGATGAGGGAAATTTGGAGACATTAATTCACCTTTGTGGGTATCCGTTGCGTACGCTGCGAAAGAGAGATACCCAAAAAATATATACGATGGAATGATTTCTCTTTAAATGATCTAAACAAACTCCGCGACACTATGTCTATCTTTTAAGATTAACTTTCAAGAACGACGAGACGCGAGGCAATCGTGGGCAATGTTGATAATCAAAATAAATACACTATAACGGTTTAAAACGCGATATATTAGTTAAACTTATTTGAAAATTATTTCTAACTTCGCCCCGACTTTCGGATGCTTTGCATCAGCCGTGGTCACGGGGAGACATCTCCCTGTGTTTTATTTAAATGTGTACTACTCTCGTAAACTATAGACAGTATTTAAAATTAATATTCTACGCGGACGAAGTCGCCGACATAGCTAGTAATCATATATACAGATAAAGCCATTTCGTTATTTTTATAGAAATCATATCATTGTGTTAGTTCTAGCCAGTTACATTTAGCTTTATAAATCTTGACCTTATAAATGGACTTCACCCAGACTTATCGCTACACTTGTCTAGCCTAGATTATTTTGTAGTATCTCTTAATGAGAATTTCATGTACACTTTACGTTCCTTCGTGCGTCAGCGTGACTAAGAGTGACAGGCATATAGGCATCCAACGTCGCATTTTATTATTGTTATTATTTATTTATTTAGTACGTTCACAGACCAGTAATATCATTAATTTCACTAAATATGTTATATTTAATTTAAATTCCTACGTAGGACAATTTGTAGCAGTCGCTACAAAGCATCCAAAACGCCGGGTTGTTGTTAAATGCATTTTGAATAACTAACTAAAAAACTGTCTATGGTCGCAATACTTTACTTTTAAAACGTTTAATATCATTAAAAGGGTTTGTGAACATTAGCATCTTATAAACATATCACCTAAGCGTATAAACATACAACATATACACATATTTCGAAACGTACTATCAAATAAACACAAGAATATCTGCTTAGCCATTCTTAAGGTATTTAAAGAGATATATTAATACGAATGATCTAGACTTTTATCATATTTTTTTTCCTACAAAACGTACACTATCACATAGTACATACGCTATCTATTGTTACTTATCATATTTTCCATATTAAGGTGTACGTGCCCGAAACCGGCGCGTGTTTGCGGCGAGATAAGTATTGGGGTCGTGGTCTCAGTGAGAGCGGGCTGCGCGACGCGTTACGGGATTTCTTCGCAGCGGGCGGGGGAGGGGGCCTGCGCGCGCGCGTCGTACGCCGCGTGCTAAGGGACCTTGACTTACTAAGACGCGCCATTGCCAAACAGACAAACTACAGGTTCTACTCGTGGTAAGTATAAAAACAAGAGTTTGTTTTTAATGGTTTTTATAAACATCTTAAATTTATTTAACAACTTAAATGTGAAGAAGAAACACCAACTATAAGTTTGCGTTTTATCCTTTCAGCTCTCTATTAATTGTCTACGAAGGTGACGTGACGCCGCAACCGGACGATTCAGGTGTGTCCACATCTGAGTACGAAGGAGACGCGTCTAGCAGCTCAGCCGAATTGGCCCCGCCCGGCCACTTCGACATGTCTACACTGCACGATGAAATGCCAGAATCGTCCCTGCAACGCGAACCCTTCCGGCCACACTGCGAGGAGACGATGGGCGGCTATGAAGACGGCGAGACGGCCGGCCCGCCCTCACCCAGACCGCACCCGCCCAGCCCGGACTCCGCTGACAGCTGGATGGCGTACTCGTCCGCTAGCAGCGAGTCCTGGCGCGCCGAGGGCGAAACGGACGACCCAGACACTGAGAACAGCGGGAAGAGGGCCAGACGCCCCGCCTGGCCAACAATAGAAGAGAGAGTAGACATTCGCATGATAGACTTTGCGCATACGGCGTATGCAGGCGCGGCTGCCGAGTCGCCCCTGGCAACTGCTACACCCCACGACGGACCGGATTGTGGCTTTCTTACTGGAGTAGACTCCCTCAAACGACTCCTCACAGATATCCTCCTCCCCCCACCGTACAGTTAATGAGCGCTACCCCTCCCGTAAAATTCCCGTGTGAATAGCGTCAGCAAGAGAACTATGTCAGACGCTGCCAGATGACTATTTTTGCTGATGACTGAATGTATAAATTTTATACACTGATGCGTCGTTGCGGTGGCCGAGTGTAACGCGTAACGACGCTTCGGTCGTTGCACTAAGCGAATGTTGGCGGTACAAAGTATATTATTTTATTGTTAAAATTATTTCGATGGGACCCAGTAGGTAACGTGACTCGCTAAGTATTATAAGTTATTCCAGATTGACAATTGATTGTATTCATTGGGGCCATCCGTGAATTAGGTCACACACATTTCAAACTCCTTCGTAAATTGCTTGAAGGTTACTTACGATTGTGACGTCACGAAAGTGTGACGTAATTTATAGACGGCCCCGCTTCCGTTATGACTATGAATTGAAGAGTAGACATTCCTCGATACGCTCGGGCTGTGTAGAACGAAACTCCCTCGACGTCACATAGAGCTTATTCTTCATTCATTTCGCATTTAGAATGCCATTTCACTTCGCCTTGTACTATACCGTTGTATATAGTTAGTTATGACGTCATCGCACAGTTTTTTAAATATTTATCCCACTCATTCGAGACAAAACGCTAAATTGTGTTCCCGTATTATCGTGACCATAGACTACAATGCGAAACGAGATCGTAACAGATAAAGCTTGACGCCCACTAACCATTTTGTGTCCCTCTTCTATATATCAAATTGTGGGAAAGAGAACGTTCTGACAACTCGTTTCGGAGCATAGTCTATACCGTTTGAACATTATTTCCCTTGTACATAATTGATAATGATGTATTGCGTGTTTTATATTCGATGTGTCTGACTTTTGTGCCGTATTACAGTATGTTTTGTGAAGCAATTTATATATTTTTGATGTATAATGGCGGAATGTTAGTTGATAATTTTGGCAAACAAACAGTATTATTACGTGATCGGATTGCCAGAGTGGGAATGATTTGGTTTCGGTATCAGTGTTAATATTCGCGGGCAGGTGCTAGTATCGTAATATTTACACTGCCAAATGGATGAGTGTACAGCGATGATTTGTGAATGTCCAATAAATTTTTAGTGTAAACCTGTAGCCTATAAACGCAGTAGATTTCGGCGTAACGCGTTTCTTTGCGGAGCGACGTATTAAATCCTATTGGGTCGTTTCGTCGTTGTTGCAAAAACGCACCACAAAGCGTTATAGTGACGCATTAGCGTGTGATAATAGTAACGCGTAACGCAAGTAAACCTACAGCGTCTATAGGACCACAGGCTACTAAATCCTTCGCGCCCGATCCATTGAATGATATTGACTACGCGTTAGCCAACATTCCTTCGTGCGGCATTCGAGTTTTGTTCGTGTTACTGTGGGATAAATTTATAAAGTACCTGTTTTATTAGAATGCTAGGCTGTATCAAATTATCATTTATCTTTACGTCTGTTATTTTGAATAAACTGTATGACATTATTTTGTTAATAAATTTTAGGTATTGAAAGTATTTGGTTTTATTTTACTTAATTTACACAGAGTCAAACAACAAGGGTCCACACGCATCAAGCGGTCATTGGTGCATATAGGCCCTTAACATAGTGACATTCGTTTTGACGTATTTGAATTTAAAAAGTTTTTTTTTTTTCATTTATGGCAAGAAAACTAACTAAGTAATCATTCACGTTCTTATTTCAAAGTGTTACCCATATTAAAAACAAATTATCTGTGGTGTTTGGCTCTAAACTATGCTACCTATATAGTTTTCTTATGATTATGAAATTCCTTGTTTTAGAATCTGTGAATGGTGCAGATTCTGTGGCTCAGTAAGAACAAAAACTATTCCCGCCTAAATTATCAAATGTGCAAAAGCTAGACATTTTGGCTTCATTAAATTTCAGTTACGAATAAAATATTAAACCATTAAATTCAGTGTCATTACTAAAATTCGCAATGGCTGAGAAAGCAATAAACCAAATTCAACAAGAATTGAATGAATATAGCTCGACAATCTCATTGTCTAATAACTATTTAAAATGTGAGTAATATAATTTTCAACTTAAAACAAAAACTACGCTTAATGTAACATTGCATGTGATTTTTAGTTTTGTTTGTGGTAATTATTATATTTATTATGGTTTCACAGCGCAAAAAGCTTTATTGCATAAGTTAAAACAGGAATCGGAGCGGGAAAAACTAGAGTGCACTTTCATTAATAATTCCAATCGTTCATTACTTAATGAAATTAAGGAAGAAGAAATTAAATTGCAATGGTAATAATAACACGATTTCTTAATTAAATTAATTAATTTAATTATTATATAGGCATTATTGTTGAAACGATTCAAAATATTGATTACGTAGGTAGAATTAGATACTACAATACGACGTCATACGAAGGAAGACAAATAAATGGACTTGCCATTTTTCATTTATATAATATAAGCATATTTGTTTGTCGTAGCAATCCTTTTCTCAAACTTAGTGTGCTACAGACATTTTCGCTTTAACTTATTGAATTTTCAGTTTAAATTCCTCCTTGGAAACAATCCAAAGCGGAAACGTTGAAGGGGAAAAGGAGTTACTCCTCACGAAAGAGCGTAGATCGGAAATCGAAGAACGCGTGACCAACGGAATAAAAAAATATGAAGAAAAATGGTCGTTAGCCAAGAAGAACTACGAAGACATTCCGTATATGAAAGACTATTTAAACTTTAAAAATAAACTACAGACACATGAGCAGAATTTAAAAGATCTGATTAACGATTCTGATAAACTGTCCATTGATATTAAGAAATTGAAACGCGAAGTATGTGTATTAGATAAAGAGCATTCGATACTAATTGCTCGATTTCTGACTATAGAGAAAGCGGAAATGCTGAATAAGATAGCGAAATATAGACGCGATAGGGCCATACAAAGTAATGATATAAAGAGTCTGTCGCTATACCCTTTACCGAAGCAGGGAAATGATTTAAAAAATAAAGAAGTCTTTGAAAACACTCCGGAAAAACAAGGCACGAGCAAAGCAGGACTATCGGTTTGTACTTTGGTGATTTAATAGTAAGATTGTAAATGGTACCCTCACCTTTCTTGCTTGCTCTATCAGAGAGGAAGATGGTAATACCCACTAAAATCAAATTTCAACTGACCGCCATTACTGAAAGATAACAACCCCCCCCCCTCCCCGCCCCTCTGGATCAGACTGTTCCATTTGTTCCGGTGCTCTAGGGGATATTGGACACCATATCGTGATCTTTTGTCCATTCACAAAACTGGGTCACTGGGTTTTAAACTTAGGACCCGACCCAAATGCAGTTTGACACGTCGGATCTAGGTCTTATTAATATATTTTATTTATTCATGCAGTATTATGTAGACTTATGAGCGTAAATTTGAAACATTATTGCTTATATCTCTCGTCTAATATAACTACGATTACGATCAAGCCTACACTCCAAATTCTGAACATTATTTAGACGCACTTAAACTTAGTTACTTAGTAGGCTATATTATAAAGTATCGTGATCTTAATTTCTGTATGTTTGCAGTGGCCATGTTTCCAGCAGCAAAACAACGATCTTGATATGATAACTGCCAAGTTAGATCAGGTAAGTGTTAATTGTAAACTTAACGACAAAATGTGGGACAATATTTAAAATTAATTAATCATATACATAAGATAACATTTTGTATGATAGTTTTTGTGCTTTAAAATACGTTGCTTATATACGATTAACCGTAGAAATTATAAATATAAGGATTTCGTATGGGAGGGTAAACTGCTTCGTTACGTAACGCGTTCTTTCCGTTTACAAATATGTAATCGATATGATAGATAGAGGATAATTCCAGTTCAAACATATAGACTTTGTAAGCCGTCTGTCTAACAAAGTTATTTGTAGCCAATAAAGTGTTTGAATACAAAAACTAAAACATAATATATAAAAAATAGCCAATAAAGTGTTTAAATAATAAATATAAATTGCATTTGAATTGTGAAAATAATTTCAGATAAGGAAAGATGCAAAAAATGTAAAACGTCCAGGTTCCCCATTGTTTAAGGAGCCCAATAAAAAACCCAATCCTAAAGAATACGTTAATGACGATATAACCGACTATTTCATGTACCGCTCAGTCAAGACCGATAATATCAAAGATTATTCGAATAAAAAACTAATTCATATTATAGAGGATATACAACTAAATGAGAAAGAAGCGCATAAGATTATCGCTCAAGCGGACAAAGACAGCTTCAAAGATGTTACAATGATAGGAGCTAGTGTTGGTAAAAATCAAACACTTTTCGAGAAAGAAGACGTTATAAGCAATAACGATCGCAAAGAAACAATTAATGATAAAGATAGCTATGCTAGTGCTGAGGATTCAAGAAATAGTACTATTAGCAACAATGCTAAAGATGACGTTAGTAAGAATATTGATACAGAAAAATGTGTGTCTGATGTAAATAGTGTTGGTAACAGTACTAAGGAAGACAATGCAAGTGATGCTTATAGGAAGTCTAAGGATCCAAACAGATTGTCTCAGGTTAAACGTTCTCTTAAAAATTACACCATTTTGGTTCTATCTCTAAATTTCTATTTTGACAGAGACATCCTCTATGACAGAGGAGTACAGCCAAGCATGAATTTCACTTGATAGAAGGTTACCCCCAGGTTTAAAATAGGCTGACAACACATCTTGATTAGGTGCGCTGTCAACTTATTTTGATTTTTCAGAATAAACCCATTCAAGCTGAGGAAATCGAAGAAATCGATTTAACTGCGAGTTCAGTAAATTTGTTGCCACCGACACAGTTTATGGATACGATTCAGGTAACTATTACTGTTATCATTTTTATTAAAAAAAATAGGTATAAGGCATTTATTCGTTAAAGAAACCGTTAATTTTTTTTCATATATTTTTAACTACGTTAAGTGATTGAAAATTTGCGTGAAAGTGGACACTTCGGGTTGAAGTTGACAATAAGTTAAATGTATCTAGTTTTAAACCGTTGAGTGTTTTAATTAAATGTACTTTCCTACTCGCAGTAAATCATTATTTGATTTCCCCTTGCTCCACACCATAACTTCACTAGGCACTTGACACTTTGGCACACATAATTATTTCTACCGTCAGTATCTATGCAAGGAGTTGTTTTATATATCCGTCGCTTACATTTTAGCGGTCCCAGGAGAAAAAGGTAACATTCAACATCAACGAATCCGTCGAAGACATGCAAGTTGACGATACTGTGAGAGCACAGACATCTGTAGATAGTTACGCACATATTAAAGATACAATGTTCAAGAAGTACAATTTGGACATATCTCCACAATTTATGTATGGAAAAGACGCGTTTCAAATGGTAATATTATAAAAAAAATACATAGAATAGTAATATACTCGCCGTGTCAGCAACTTTTAAAACATTTAAAGAGAAATCATATTTATAGGGTATCTATAACCAATTTCGTAGGGTACGCAGCGGAAAGGATGGATCATTTTCTCCATTTCCTTCACATTTCGTTGTTTTTTCGCGCCTATAAGTCGCATAGCGATGTCTTATAACATAAGCCTCAAATGCTCTAACCAACACAGAAAGAATTTATAAATTCGAACCAGTAGTTCCTGAGATTTGCGCGTTCAAACAAACAAACTCTTCAGCTATTAGTATCGGGCAGATTACGGAATGCTATATTCCGAAAATAATTTTTTAAAGCCTTGATTTATTTTTTTAAACTCGAGAAATTCTAATCCAAATTTTATATTTGAATTATGAATTTTTACAATCATTTTTAGAAAACAAAAGAATATGTCGTGAGGTCTAAATTCTTTGATAACAAAGATATCACTGAAACTCCCAAAATAAATACTAATGATGAGAATGAAACTGTCATGCCAGCTCAGCAGACATTGCAAGAAACAGAAGTGATACAAGCTGCCTTTTGCAAGGTATTTTCAAGATTAAATTACCAATTAAAAAAAAACTAATACCGCCGACGAATTACCAAAAATTTTGCTATAAATGTTTGAATGTAAAATATTTTTTAAATCTATAAAAACTATAAATATAGAAGAAAATTATAATGGCTCTAATGATCTTGCCGCAAGGAACTTGACATATTTTTGCAGGCTGATAAAGTAAAACCTGTGTCTGGTTTACTTTTTACCCACGGTTCACAAGGTATCCTGGAGTCCTTGGAACTGTCGGCCACCGCTGAATATGAAGAAGGTGATTCTGATTATCCTCATGGAATAGGTGAGCAAATAATCCGATCTTTTTAATTCATCTAGTATAAAAAACTAGAATATTTAAATGACATTCAGTAAATGCAATATTAAAAAATGTGAGCTGGAAGTGTTTGTAACTCTTTCACATTCCATTGACAGATTTTGATAAAATTACGCTTCAAAATAGGCATATACAAAAATTAAGTAGAATTAATAACTAAATTTTAATTACCAGACGCCAGTTTGCTCATGTCACCAAAAGCAGATGATATACCCACAGCAGGCGAGGGTGATGACAACAAGAATACTGAACAAGCACCAAATTTTTTAACAGGTGTTAAGATAATTTTATAAGTTATTTAAACATAATACTTAATTGATTACATCACTGATAATTCGTTTTGAATTCCAGGTATAAGGAAAACCGGTTTTTCATTATTCGGAGGAGCAACCAATGATGATAATAAGTCAACATCTGGGTCCCAAGAAAATAATCACTTTTCATTTTCTTTTGGTGGGGATCAAAAGAAAAAGGGGGGATTATTTAATATGTTTCGTTAAACAGTTTTTCCAATTATCCATTTTCTTTAACTGATTTCCATTAATTACATTCCAATATGATAATATAATCAGTTGTATATTGTTTGTAATTTTTAGTTTCATATGAATAAAATACCACTGTAATTTTATTTAGATAGACTTTTATTTATAAAAGATCAAAGTTTACTGGTGCAACTGGCAGGCTCTTACAGCTATCAACTGTAGTAAGATGAACAAGGGTGCAAAAACTTCACTGTACTCTATTGCAGAGTCCCCTTGCAATTTCCGACAGAGCAAAAATTTGAATACAAAAGTCAACCCTAGGAAAATACAACTCCACGAAGCTCTATATACAGAAGCCTTGTACGAATTCTCCAAAGTCATTCTAATACAAACAATGCAGCAGAAATAAGCATTCATAGCGTCACTCACAAATAACGGTGCAAATATAGTCCACCAAGCACTATTAACAACACCATCTATTTTTAAAGCTAACAGAGCAGTAAATAATGTTATTGTTATCAAGTTTATCCATATCTCAAACACTGTAAGTCCTATCCACTGTACAATCTCACTCAGAGTAAAAAACATGGTTACTGATTGGCTCCGAGCATGGCAGTTCTAAAAATGCGGATGTGAATTGATGATGAGTGCCTAACTTGTGCACCGTAGTCTAGATCGTCTGTCAGTGGTTCCAGATCATCTGAAATATATTTTTTATAAACTTATTAATAAAGAGCAAAATATACATCAATTAATATTTATATATATACTTTTCGCCATCCTTATATCGTTCAAATTAAATTAAAAACACTAAATACTGACCTACTAAATCTACAGTTCCCGTGTTAACTTCTATTTGACATGTTCCACAAAATGCAGCTTCTATTTGAAGTGCAAGATTACAGCATCTTTGTATAGCAGCTCCAAGACCATGCAATATTATGTCTTTTTCACCCTTTGTTAGAAGATCACAGCATTTATCCAGCTGTGCCTGTAATAAGTAACTAAAGTAAATAAAAATTGTTACAATACTAAACATATGATGTAAATTTAAATGTAATCTTTTAAGTGCAATATTGTTATAATTTAATACCTTAAAATTAGTTTTTTTGGTGACGAAAATCACATTATCTCCCTCCCTGGGTCGTAATGGCAAACGCTTTTTTACTGCATAGTTCTTATTAGGTTTACGTCTTTGATCCTGCTGGTCGTTTCTCTTTTTAGGATTGGTTTCGTCTCCCATAATAATGTTTTTAATAGTTTTACTCACATTATTTTTTAACTCGAGTACTCTGGTTATGACAAGTTGTCAATAAGAAATGATTTTAGCATAATGTCAATTGTCACTTTTACTTTGCGGTAATATTGAAAATGGGTTTCCATTCTGCCATCTAAATGAAAGAAGAAGAAGAAAATAGTGTTGTCATAATTTTCTTGTTTTCATAAGAAGCGGGAAAATTTAAAAGAATCCTTCATCCTGTCAAATATCATAGATTGTATATTATCAAATACGTATTACTGCCATGTTTTAAGTCAAAGTTTCTGCTTAATATTACTGTTTGTATGAAGTATCGGTTTTAACGCCCAAATTATGTTACAGTAGAATCTATTAGTACCAAATGTGTGAAATTCTTGTTCCTTCGTTTATGATCATGTAGTTCATTGTAACCTGATAGAATATAATGGGCTGTGTGTGTTGCTCTCTGAGTTCTTTTATATCGATAGTACTAGACGCATTTGAGAGGTAAGGAATATTCAATTATACTTTAAGATTTTTAATCCAACAAGATAGTTAATTCGTCAGCTTTCGTTGCGCCAAACGTTTGTCTTCATTTTGAGCTTATAAATGGTTTTAATGAAGATCAATTAGAGTGTTTACTCGGCATCCCTCAGTTTAAGATTTAAAACGAGTACTAAATCCTGAAATAATTACAGAGTATCACTATGTACTGTTTGTGCTATGCTAACGTGCTGCCTCATGTTGACCATGATAACTATGATGGTATTGGGTATCGGAATTGGGTTTCACTATTGTTTTGTCCAAAATTCAGTGGAGGCTATGGGTAAGTGTAACGTAGGGAGCGAAGTATATAAGAGATTTACATTCAAAGTAACTGACAAGTCACCTACCCACTTTAGAGAGTAAGTGTAGAACGCTTTTTATATAAATATCGTAGTAATAAAAAGTATGACTCGTTTTTGTAGCATGTCAATTTTATTATAAACTCATTTTAGAAAAGGCTGCGTCCGCTGCCGGCGCCCTAGCCGGCCGAAGGAGCATGCCAAACAAACCTGTAATGCGGTCAGTTGACAAAGCAGTGCAGAGGGGTTTCGCCCACCGTTTGTCCCGGAGAGAAGCAGACACTCCGCCCATATCAAACAACCTAACAGCAGTCAACTCTTCATATGCCCTGGACACAAATTTAACAAGAACGAACATATCCTTGTCTTTAAACACGAACTTTACCAGTACGAACGCCACTTCGAATTTGTAAATGTGTGATTGTTTAAATAAAACGAAATTTATACAGAAAATTTATCTCGTGTCTTTTCTTTCTACATAAGAGGAACAAGGGATTTAGGTCGTATGTTCTTCCAATCTTCAAATGTTATGAAGAAGAAGCTAATGGTGGCTCCGTGCTGTTTAACGGTCGGAAAAATGGAATGTTTGTCGTGCTGTGCGTGCGACGGTAGCGACCAATAATTCGTCTAGCCAATTCTCGTTCTTGGGGCGATAGTTCTGGCTCTTTAGGTGGGCTGTAGTACGTAAGTATGTAATTAAGTAATAATTGACTTATAATCTAATTGAATTTTTAACCTTATCAAACTATTCAGACATTAGGCAAACTTAAGGTATGTTGTTGTAAAAAAGGAACTAACGCACAAATCCTTTGTTAATCGTAAAATAAGTACAGTATTTATTAAACATCCATTATAAATTGATTGATTATAAGTATCCATCTGGCCGTTGCTCTAACCAATTGAGCTACCAAGTCGTTCAATAATAAAAATATTGAAGTTGTCAACTGTGCAGTATTTTCAAATAACATATTACAAATTAGTAAACAGTGTATCAAATACCTTTCAGTTTCCAAAACAATTACTGGAGTCTCGGATTTTTCTAAATAGACCTTTTCACCGCCGCGTTTTCTTGCCGACCTTTGTACCTCTGCAAAAGGGAAATATCCAGGTCTTGACAACGCAGCACAAAAACTATATACTAAAACGCTTTACCATTTAAAACCATATGGAGAGGACAACCAATCGTAAATAAAGCATGCAAATGAGAGAGAAATCTCTAAATTTTTGCTGCACTACTCAATTCTCTCTATAACATGCGAGAGAAAGAGATAAATAAACCTTCAACAATTATATACTTACCCAGTATAGGTTGGGGCGCATGTTCGACTTCTGTGCGGTTTACTGCCACCAATCTTACAATTGGCTGCTCGGCGCCTCCTCTTAACATATTTTGTTCCGTCGTTGACCTAGATGACACTAAAACAAGAAATCACAGTATTTACTATTTACCATTAGTCATTACCTACTGGTATTAGTATTAAGTACAGTTGAAATTAGTGACAAAAACATATTACTAAACAAAACACTTTTACGATTTAAAACGCAAAATGTATTAGTAAAACTGATTCAACTACGGGCCGACCAAGGCGTTTCGGGCGCTTTGCAGCAGCCGTGGTGACGGTGAGAAGGGCGGACGAGTCGAACTAAAATATTCGTTTTAAACTGTTAAGTGTTTTATTTCAATGTGTACACTTCACACGTGTACTCAAGTAATCTGCATAGGGTTTTAAAAATATCTATCAATTATACCTTGAAATATCGTTTGTTTGTTAAAATTCACCTCAACATATTGTTTAGTTATATACCTACTTAAGTTAGTATATTCAACGAAATACTTAGATTAGATTATAAGATTTCTTCTTGCATTTTTATTATGAAGTATTTCATTGATTGTTATTTAACATTAGACCTGTCTTAGTAAATTATGTTTAGATTTTATCTAGTACGAATGTCGTTAAAGAATGATTATCGTACGTACTTGCAAATGCTGAGAGCTCCTTCTGTGCATAATGGTAGCCCACTGATATCCCATATATCATGAGGACGATGATTGTAAACATCAATAGCATGAGTAGAAATGCGCAACAGGTCCATGTCAAGACACTGCAGAGTAAAGATAATTATTTTAAATTTTTAATGTGTATTGCCAATTTAAGCCTCCCGCCACGATGGTCCAGTGGAGGTAGACGTGTTTTACGACCACCGCCACTATATAAGTGGTAATAAAACCTAAACAGCTCAATGCTCAACGTATTCTCCTATGCACGGAGTGATGATCCACTACTTACTTCTGGAGTAAATCTGAAATTTGCCCCGTGATTTTAACACGGAGCCATTCGAGGTCTCGTGATCTACAATACTCTAATCTCTAGGGTCTAGACTAACAAAGCAGCTTGTTAATAAGGTTTAGATAATGGTTGATTAGTCAAAAAAAATATTAATTCTTATATTCTATGAGTTATTATCTGCATAAGGAGAAATAAAATATCTTTACCGTTCCACGCAAAACACAATCGAACAACACACTGATTGTATTATTCCCATCTTATTTTAAGAAATTAATGCCAATATCTTTAAGGATTAAATAAAAATATATCAAAAATATTGCATTAAAGCATTTCGAATTCATGACAAATCCACTAAACACAATTGAATTCCTTCAGATTTTTGACGTCTTATGGTTTTAGGTATCCCGGAGAAAAATACTCTGTATTATTGTAGGCTATATAATTATTGTAAATTTAAAAATAAATTAAATAAACCTGACAATGAATACTTACTTTCAAAATAATCTACGAAACTTTTTAAAACTCGATATGAGATGTTTATCATCATTTAATATATTAATAGTTCGAATCCCTCCAATGTCACTATTGTTTCAAATTAAACGGTTTAAAATGGTTAATATACTATTATAGATTTTTTTATGAAAGGATTGTAACGGGGCCCGGGGCATCGAATACTAACGACGCTTGGTCGTGTTTGCGGCTAGACCTAGGGTGCTCAGGGGGGGCGTCGATGTCGGCTCGGACTGCCGCAATGCGGGTGGGAGCTTTAAGAGCTGGACGGAAGCTTACCCGGGTGAGCGGTAAATATACTAGCTGTCCACGGCTACCTAAGCGTCGAGCCATAATCAAAATAAAATAAATATAAGTTACGGTTTTTATTAAAACCGCTAATCGTTTTATATAGTTTTTAACTTTCATATTAGTATTCATATTTTTCACATGTTGTTGCACATAGGACTCGATAGCTCAATTGGTTAGAGCACGGAACGCTAAGCATACCGCTTCAAGTCCTGCTTGAGACGTATTTTTTTTTAAATTTATAATCGATTTTTATTTAATTGTGTACTCGCGAAAATCACAGACAATAAAACACTTTCTAACAAAACATATTTATTAAACAACACGAGCGATAAAAAATACAACAGTCTCGAAATATGAACGGCAGTCACAACCAATATAATATCGTCAGACCACATTTAGTAACTCTTAACTAATTACAATCAATAGCATATATTGCAGGAATGCGAAAATATACAAATAAAAATATACGTGCATTAATATAAAGAAACAATAGAATTTAACTAATAAAACAAAATTTTCACAAAATTATTGCTTTTCGCGTAACGGCGTTTTATCATCAAAGAGATATTTTTACTATGACTATATACTAGTGACAATGTGTTTTATAAGTATTGTCTAATTGCTTTCTTAAAGATTTTCAGCGATCCACATATAGTATATTTTCTAACTTGGCAAAAGACTAAAACAAATATGGCGGATGTCGAACCATAGAGAACTAGTGATGAACTTTTATAGAGCGAAGTTACCACATTTGACACATGGAGACATCTTAAGAAATATCAAACTAAATACATTTTCATCTGTCCATTTACGTAAATTAATTTTCAAGATTTTTTTTTAATTTTAACATGTTTTTTTACTAAGTAATTTTTATGAGTCAGTGTCAGTGTCTCATAGTGTTTTTTAGTGTACACTTTTACTGTAGACTTTATGAGAAAATTACTTTTTCATGAAAATTGATGAATGTAAGTTAGAAAAAATACACTATAAATGGGCACAACTTTATCCTTGAGCTTCTCTCAACAAATCGGCAAGCGGTAACTCAGCTAATGCAGTGCGCAGCTCGTGCTGTAACTGTGCTTCGAGGGCGGGCTGGGCGTGCGCCCGCGCCGCGCCGCGTAGCCACGCCCTAACCAATCCTAGTTCTCCACTTAATGGGCCCAGGCCAGTTATATGCATATCCATGCCCCTACAAAACATTTTTAAACGTGAGAATTATAAATAAAGTAAATATATACAGATCATTATCTATTTAATATATACGTATACTGTATTATAGAGCAAAATTTTATTTATAGTCTGATATTTTCTTTCCGTTTTCTATTACAAAATATGTTACTATTTTGCATTTCTCTTTAACATAAAGTAGAATATTTAAATTCATTTATAAAGTCAATCAATATGACTGTTTAATTATAACCGATATAAACCTACTACCCAGCTTTTAAAATAACTTAAATATTTTCACATCCGAAAAGGGTTTCAAAATTTTTGAACCACCGTTTGATGAGATGTCCTAATTAAGTTTTGTTAGATCCCCCGCTCTTTCAAAATTTATTTGTTTAGTTATTATTGCCATTGTCTTCGTAATACATACGGGCAGTGATGTAATCGTAGATCGTCCAGCTGCGCGTACGGCTCCCATCTTGTGAGTCCAATGCACAGGGCCATGTGTAGTGCATTGTCGTTGAAGGCAGCTACCACCCGCCCTTCGCAGCCAACTCCCAACGCCTTTACGCGGTAATCATCGTAACCAATCTGTAGACATGTACCGGATTAATATTAGTTCTTATTATCTTCGTTCCTATTAGTCACAGCGCAATGTTTCATAGCTTATAGCCTTACTCGATGAATTCTCTTTAAATTATCTAGGACGGGACGCGACCGACGTCGTGGACAATAGCTTTAATCTATAAAGGTTTAGATCTAGGTTTGCAAAAACAACAGTTAGCAAAAGATATAGCTTACTTGTAAGTCCTTGATCTTAAGCGTGACATGGAAACAAGTCTTTGTTGAGTCTCGTCTCATGACAGTCACATCGTTAATTCGGTTTATTGTGGCAAGATTCTTCACCCAACCCATTCCCGTCTCGAACTTTCCGACAAAAGAGATCGAACCTATCTGGAAATAATTGAATTTATCTTTAGTTAGGCATATAGAGGAAAGACAAATTCAGAGTTAATCCTAAGAAATCCGACACAAAGTATCACATCACTAAACACTATGAAACGCTTTAAAACACGTAAAATATTTACTTCTTTACAATTTAAGTCCGTGACCGGCTGCAAAACATCCGAAACGTCGTGTCGAAGTTAAAAATAATTTTCAACTAATATATATCGCTTTTTAAACCGTTAAAGTATTTTATTTAGCTTAATAGCTTACTTTATATTATATAGAAGACTTTTGTTGCTTTTTTAACCATCTATTGTAGGCACTAGATAGTAGCTTTTTAGTCCGTCTATATAATATGTTTGCAAAGTCAAAGTTAAAAAATAATTTATTCAAGTAGATAACTAGGTACCCTTAAGAAACTTCACAATACTAAAGAATCTAAATTTACATTTACTACCAATTCTTAAATCAAGGGCATAGGGAATGAACGATAAGAACTGGCAATAAACTCGCCGCCACTCTTTTTTACCGTCTTCACATACTTTAAGTGCACTACATATTTGTTTTAATTAACTGTTTATTTTACAAAACTTAAAATTAAATACCTTATGCATAAAGGTAGCGTGCAGCGAAGGCAGTTCCAGCACCTCCCGACAAGACTGCAGCAGCGTTCGTCGCATATTAATGAGGATCATATCCACCACGCGATTCCCACACTGAGATAACTTATCCACCATATCACTATAATATTAGAAGTATAAATGTTTCTTAAATATGTTTTTGGTTAACGCCACAAGACAAGCACGAAGTTCACTTAATGCTAGTTCATGACTCGGCTCTATAAAATATAATAAAGATGTGTTATCAACTGTGTATTTTGGCTTCGAAAATGCTAGTAGTAGTAGTATGAACACCGTAGCTTATTTATCTAAAATAATTAATTAAAACACTTCTAACGGTTTACATCGCGAAAAATATTATTAAACTTTTTAACTATAGCTTAAAAAATAAATTTACCATACTTCGCGTTTTAAACCGTAATGATTTATTTTATAGTGTATTCATTATAGCTCGGGGGTCTGTGACTCAGGCTAAATGCAATAAATATAGCTACGTAGAAACCTGTAAGCTTCCAGCATATTAGGATTGCATCCAACAACATCAGAGACGCTGGTGGCTCGATACAAGACCTTTTCAAGATGTCGTTGCAGTTTCTGTCGAAGCAGGGCGAATAAGGGCAGGGATATCGCAGCTGTCAGCGGTAAATCGTCTGAAAATAAAGAAGAACTTAAGTCCTATGTGTTAAGGTTCAAATTGCCTTGCATAGGATTGATAATTCAGGTGGTAACGTAATGGCTAACTAAAGCGGGGCAACAGAGCAATGTTGAGATGTTATATGGCTGGAGTGTTTCGACTTAAATGAAAAATTACCTATATGTTTTGCCAATTGTTCAGTTGTTGTAAACTCATACCCTCCATTTCTTTGAGGCGATGGCCATGATAACTGAAAGTAATGATAATTCTCATTAAATAAGATTATACTATATATTAGATAATTACAATCATATTTATAGTAATTCTCACAAATACTGGAAGTTGTTACATAAGTTAAGCATATAATAAGTACCTTCCTTGCAATGATAGACTTAAATCAGTCAGTTCTTTGTATAAAAATATTGAGCTAAGTTGATGAAGCAAATGCGTCAGCCAACAGGCAAATATGAGACAGATGCACTTAAATGTTAACTCACCTTGACAAGAACCTCGTCATGTATAAACTCAATGGCAGGATTTATAAATGAGAATGCATCATCTTGCAGCACTAAGCCAACGGTAACATCTGCAATCATGTTTGATAATGATACTCTGAAAGGATAAAATTGAAAGAATATACTTCAATATCTTATAATCATAATTTTCACTTCAATTCATGTTTTTTACTAAGAAATAAACTCGCATTTAAGTAAAATCCTAGCTAACCATTCAAAGTTTCGTTACAATAAAGCACTAAAACATTCTTGTGCAAAAGATCTTTCTTTCAGCATCAACTAAAACAATTGGGCCGATGGGGAACAGGAGAAAATAGGCAAGAAGTTGTTTTTAGCCGAAATAGTAATTTCTTAACCAAATACAAGTACATTTAAACATATATTAAAAATATTACCTTTTGTTTCAAAATATCCACTGTACAGACCTAGGTACAAGTTAGTGATGTTAAAATGTGTTTTTGAAACAATATTGTATATATTGATAATAACAAAAATGATGTGTTAGTAAAGTTTTTTTTGAATTTCGTGATTATTAAATAATTTGTTAAGATATTTTTCAATTGATGTCAAAATAGCAAATATTTTTTTATATGATCATGACATTTTTAATAATTTAATTGTGCCTTTACTTTGATTCTGTATATAAGAAAAACATGTGTCTGTTTTTATACTTACACAACATGTCCCTCGGACATAACAGGAATAAGATTGTACAGGTTTTCATTAAATGCACTATATAGCCCTCTCACATTCACCTCCCCTAATGAGCATCGCAATGCTAAAGACATTGACTTGAGATCCAAAGACACAGATTGCATGTGGAATGTTGGAGACTTTATGAGCTCTAATCTAGATAAGTTCCTGGAAAAAAGTGCGTTATGTTAAGAGGCTTTTATTTCATTTACATGAAACACAACATGTACACTGAATAAAAATCTAAATGCAGAATATCATAACAGGACATTGTCATCAAATGTAATCAGCAATTCTTTAAGTCCTAAGTGTAATGAGAGAGTTTAATCACTAAGAAGGATCAGATAAAATGGTTACCTGGTATTACCTGCTAACCATTTTATGACTGAACAACTGCCCTTCTAACCATGTCTTTAAAAGAAATTAATATTAACATGACATATTGTCATTGATCTGCATTCATTTGACTTTGGTTAATTTTATTTAAAGGTAAGTTAGTTAGTTTCTCTGGTATTTCAATCTAAAATTATGTAAAATTGACAGGCTGTCATTTTATCAATAACCCACGAAGTTGGTCATCATTTGCATTATTACTCTATATATTTTACGACTACTGTTAACTTCTAGCAGTGTATTTAAAATTTGCCAACTAAGTTAGTCACTGGAGACTATTCTGAATAACAAGTGAGTATGAAACCGTTTCTGCTTATTTAGCAAAAAAATACTTACACCTGTGTATTCTTAGCAAAGTAGGATGTATCTTCCAGCGTGTCTGTTTTAATTTGTTCACCATTTTTCGTTTGTTGTATCGCAACATTTGTGAAACTCTGTAATATTATGGGATGACAAATAATTTGTATTCAACACAAGGGGTACGTTCATTTTATTATAATTCTTACTTACCCTTTTGATAACATCTTGTAAATTTGGCTGAATATCAGTTAAAAGTTTATCAAGTTGCTCTTTAATATCAATGCTTTCTTCTGTCATGACTGTTTCTTGCTATTCATTTAAATATTTTTTTGTGAAATTATATCTTTCGGAATTTTAAAAATATTTATTTACATCACAACATATTGATAGAAATTTTCATCTTGAATTTTGTCATTTAAATGCAAGTCGCAAACGGCGACGTGACGTTTACAAATATTGTAATGTCATTTTATGATTATTGACGTCAAGTATCTGTGGTTGATATGCAATAAAGTACCACAGGCTATATTGTAATGTGTTAATTCATCGTTATAAAGATGACTTTTCTACTACAATTTAATTATTAAAAAAAAAACACAAAATCAGTTTTTATTATTTATTTTTCCAAGTGCAAAGTTCTCATTGTATTTTATAAACATTTTTTGCTTCTTTTCGGAACCCTCTTTCGGCGGAAATTCTAGTTCCACGCTATCTTTTTTCCAAAGCACATAATCTGCAGTAAAATTGTCTTTATTGTCATTGTCAATATTTATATTTTCTTCAAAATTCTCGTCACCGTCGTTTTCATTTCCTTTTATTATTTGATTCTCTATATACGTTTCTTGGATGTCAGTTGACTCTTCTGACACAATTTCATTGGAGTCATTGAATGGGACCAATATTGGAACTAAAACGATAGTATTTTATAGACTAAAGTAAGAAATTACAACTTAATTAATATTTATAGAGACTTACCACATCGAGATATTGTGCTTAACATTTTTATATTGTGTATGACAGTGTTACTCATAATTGCTATAATATGTCTTTCAAGTAGGAAATTGAATTGGGAAATCATTCTATTGGCCGGTCCTTCAACGGTTAAGGACTCCGTCCTATAACAGGAATTAAGGTCATTTATGGTGTAAACATTTTGAAAAAAAAAATACCTGCTTTTACTACTACTAGTCACAATATAAAAGTTTCGAATAGCTATACTCTTTATATAATTTGTTTCTAGGATATTATACTAAGCTCGTAACGACATTCTTCTTTATAGTTTAACTATGTATACGTAAAATAAATACTAACCCAACTTGCTGTAGAAATTCAAAAGCCATGTCTACAGATTCCGGGTTCTTAACAAGAGACATAGAGAGTCTAGCAACTAGCTCATCAGTAGTTAAAATTAGTGATCCCGTTAAGGGCGCTGCTTCTGATGTTGTTAAGGCTGTATATCCATATGTCACCTGTAAATCGCATTTGTAAAACAAATTTCACATATCAAAGCAAAACAATCGGAAAAAGATGAAAGAAGAACACTTTTAAAAAACTTTATTAATTTTTACATGTTATTGCACATGAAGGCACTATATAATTTAAAAATCGAAAATAAATTAAAAAAATCTTTTTTTTTTCTCGTACCCTTTGTGCTGCGTGGTCACAGGGAGTCTCCCCGAAACGTCGGGCCGAAGTTGAAAATCATTTTCAAATAAGTTTTACTAATATATCCTTTTAATTTCAAATATTTTTATATTTTTCCCATTGTTTTAAATTACTCGATTTATATTTTTTCTCTTACGAGCCCTAAACGACAAGCTCGTTGCGGTAATAGTAGCAATGTATGGCTTGTGCGTTAAAGGGTTGTGGGTGCGATCCCCGCCGGTTCCGACATGTTACTAATGAATTTTAAATTTGTCTGAAATATATTGGACATAGTCTGTAAATGTAGATATTAAATGTGCAGGGACAACGAAATTCCCTCCGACTCACGAACCACCGACCACAGATGAAAAAGCCGTCAAGTGAAACCGGAACGCGTTTCGGTTTTAGATGTGGATTTCCGAATATCCAATGACAGGTTTATATGTTACATGGGTTCAAACACTCTGTTTCACCAACTTTCAAGTTTACCCATGCTTGACTATCCTTTTCAATAAAAAATGCATAAAGATTCACAAATATTTAATACCGCAAGATCTTACCTTTAAATTACTGAAAGCAACCAGCGCGTCGACTTTTCGTATTTTCTCCTGTTTCACTCCTGTGGCCACTGAGCGTCTATACATCGTATCTAAGCCTCGTAAAACACCATCTCTTAGTTGAAGTTGCTTCAAAGGACACACGCATAATTATAGTGTATTTTTTCTTATTTGGCAAAAGACCACAACAAATATGGCCGATTTCAAACCATAGAGAATTAGCGAAGCTCTTTTATAGAGTGTAGTCGTTGTCACAGATAACACAGGATATATAAATATCTATTATGTGTGGACCAAACAACCTCAATATTCAAAATCAGTTCTATGACGAGTTATTTTTAAAATATAATATAAGTATGTATATACATATATTGGGAAAATTATTATAGAAATAATAAAAATTAATGAAACATACATAATTCGAATTAATTTACCACTAACAAAGAACTAGGAATCTGTACTTAGTGTCCGCAGTTTCACGAGTTACGGGTTCGAGACCCGGTGTAATTTTTATCTTGTGTACTAGGAAGAGATTAGGTAAGTCGGTATAAATAACAGGTACCATTCCGTTGAGAGCGTAAATTGTAAAGTTGGGCAGCTTAACGGAGCCGGCCTTGACCCGGTGCAGTTTCCGTATTATAACATTTATAGCGTTGTCTGTAAAGTCATTTAGTGCCAAAGCTTTCTCGGCGTCATATTTCCTGGAAATTATAATTAGTATTTTACATGCTATACGATAATATATCTAAGTTAATATAAGTTTTAAACTTGAAAGCGTTTTATTGACAACAATTAAAATTGAATGAATATTATTTAAGATTAGTTTCGATTTAACACCAGAAAAGCTCTTGTTCATAAAAATAATTGTTCATAATGAGAATGTTACAATTTGGTTAAAATTTTGTGGTAATGATAATTAATTTCAGACATCTATGTCGAAAAACTGAAACGTTGTAGGTACTTTGACTTTTAACAGTTTAAAACGCAAAATATATTACAAACTTATTTTTAATTTAATTTCGGATGCTTTGCAGCAGACGTGGTCATGGGTTTTTAACTGTCAAGTATTCACACTTTATTCCAATGTTTACTACTCGCGTAAACTACAGACAATATATTATATTCTTACTGAAATTCTGAATTCAAATCTCTTCCCGCTATTGAATAATAAGTGAGGTAATCGTTGAAATAGTCCTTAAGCCAATGGTCTAGGTCCGTCTTTAATCTATCTAAGAATCCGTCTGGAAATAAAAAAAGGCATAACCAATTGATGTCTATTATTATATAAATTTACTGCTTCACTTTGTTTGTAAATAAACTGAATCAGCGAAGTAGAACTACGTCTGGCCCATAGAGGACATGAAGCAAACAAAGTTCAGGGCGCAGACAACGGGGTTGCTCAGTACACTAAGCTCTATGATTTTTGCTCGCGTGATAAATAGAAAAAGAGGAACAATACGCAGCTAAGTAGAGAAAAGAATTATTCATATAAAAATACTAATGGTTACAATTATTGCCTGTCTGTGTAATATAATTCTAAATAGATCAGTTTTGACCTTAAACATAGCCGTCTCAACTTACTGCTCGACGAGAGCTGACAATATATCAATACATTAGTTGGTTTAGCAAGAGTAAATAAATAATGTTATATTTTGATAAATAAATACTTTAATATTGTTATGTGCCGGCCCTAAGCTGCTCTCTATTAGGCGACAGCCCTAAGCTGTGCCACTACGGGGGAACTGATAGTTCGCGTATTCGATACTCGTGCGATCGGTATGTGACGCTAATGTTGCCGTACCCATTTTAATAAAGAAATTAATTAGAATTATTGTAAGCGTCGAACTGATGCATCGTGCACAGGGAGATGCCTAGTGTTAATTAAATGTAGTATTTTTATATTAAATAATAATTAAGCATATGAGTTTTTTTGCAGCCACAATTACAAAACATACGAACCAACATTACGTTTTTCCAAACGCGCGGATGGCTTAGATGCGTTTATGTGGTACTGGAAATTTGAATAAGTTTAAATTAAATACTGTCTATAGTTTACGCGAGTAGTACAAATTAAATAAAAAACACTTTAACGGTTCAAAACGCGATATATTAGTCTCCCCGTGACCACGGCTGCTGTCAAGCATCCGAAACGTCGGGCCGAAGTTAAAAATCAGTTTCAAATAAGTTTAACTAATATATCGCGTTTTAAACCGTTAAAGTGTTTTATTTAAAAGTTTGAATTAATTATAATAATGAACTTAAAGCTGAGTAGGGAATTGCCGAATATTGCGTTAACCTGAAATTAATTACATGAACAACCAAATAGTTTCATGGCATAAGAAGGAATTTGTCTGTAAATAAGATCTCTTTTTTTAATATCGGGGAGGACAGATAAGCATACGGTTAACGATGTGCTGCCGACTTATTTTGGCTTTGATTACATACACACTGAATGTTGGAGACGGCATTGGAAACATACAGACTGAAACTGAAACTGAAGACATTTAATATCTATATTTCCAGACGAAGTCCAATGTTTTAGAAAAAATATAAATTGATTAGAATAAAATGTTTCACTCGGGATCGAATCCACGACACCTTGATTATTAGATCGAGCATGTCGAACTTGTCTAAATGAGAACTCTTAATGTAATGGACGCCTAAATGTCCCCATCCCCCCAAATCCCACCTAAGATTTATGGACTCTATTAGGGAGTAATCTATATAACTATAATTACTTTATTTCCTTATTAAGTAAAAATTACGTACCACCATTATAACATCGTCGACTTTCAATTCGGATATCACAAGCACAAGATTAAGAGTGTTTTGAATAAGTCTGTAGCGACCTTCCATCGAGTACTTGACGTTTTTCAAGAGGAATCTGTAGATTTGTCATTAGACCATAGATTAAGGCCTAGAAATTGCATCTATGGATTATCGCCAAATAGGGCAACAACATGTCTCTGAAACTTACTTGCTGCGTGCCTTATAAAGTTTTCTTTATTGGATAGGGTAGCTACATTAAACTATTTGATATCCTGAAAATATGTTCTTACTGCATGACCGCCTCTGTAGCCAAACGTTTACCTATTACCTAGAATTGCGTTAAGTTAAACTTCCTGGGTTCGAATCCCTAGGAGACAATAATCGTTTGCAGTCGGGCAGAGTACAGAAGTGTGGGGAAATAATTGCCTGTAAAACCAATCCGTTAAACGGGTCAGAATCGTGTTCGCCCCATGGCCCTAGTGGAGTAACGGGATTTTAGTTTTTATTTATTAATTTATTTCTAATTATTTATTGCACAAAAAAATACAGATAAAACTTGTATGTTACAATAGATTGCAATGAGTGGCCTTATCGCTAACAAGCAATCTATTCCAGGCAACCTTAAATTCAGGAGAACTATAGGGAAAATGGTATGATGTCGTCTACTTTGCAGATCATACAAATTAATACAAATAAAAAATTATTGATAAACTTTTTGTTAATATTAATTTATACAGAAAGACAATTTAAAAAAAATGCTTGCTGGTCCGACGAAATTCCTCTATAAACTAACTAATACTCTTATCACCATAATTACCAATTTCCACTTACTCTGCTTTTCCGAACGTAGGCACATAAAAGAGATTGGATGGATTAGAATCTGTAATCGCTCTGTCAAAAGAACCCATCACACGAAGATCATTCAGGGCAATCCTGCTCCGAAGCACCATGTTCTCTAGATCATTTTGGAGGTACTGGACCCTGAAGTGAGTGTCGTTCCGCAGCTTCATGCGATGGAAGAATCTAAAAAGAAGAACTTGAGAACTTCATCTGTTTGAGTACCAGCACGGTATACGGTGTTAGACATGAGTTTAAGTCTTGTCTATGTCACAAGGAAGACAGACAACGGGGTTTAGTGATGGAAGGTGATTCGAGGTCAAAATAGGTCGACAGTGCAACTTGTTTTGATGCTATAGGTTCGGGTATTGGATATTGGTTTTGGGTATACGAATATACTATAATAGACTGAATATATACTATGAATATATATAATAGACTGAATGCGAAACGCGATTAAACTTCGCCTCAGGTATATTAATACATAGATTAAATTTATAAAAAAATTCAACTCGAGCACCTAACTCGTCTTGAACCGACGTCGTCTGCGTCCCGTGCTGTTGCTCTAACCAATTGACCTACCGAGTCCTATAACTCACGCGCAATGTAATTTCCGTCTTAGTACTCGCTTATTAAGGTGGAAATCAACAAACAATCTATGTAGTGCCATCATGTGCAAATAACATGTAAAAATTATTTAATTTGTCCGCAAATTTGGGTGTCTTTTCTTGTATAAACATAGTAAAATATTGTTAAACATAGAATTTAATTTCGCAGTAAATTCAAGTGTCCATCTGCCGCTCTTCAAAAGCAATAACGGTTCACAAATTATGGTGTTTCCAATGATTTATAGCTTTTCCGAATTAAATTTCTTTCCGTCCACCTGTTACTAACGATGTCGCCTTAAAATTTGGAAAAAAGGAAACTCGTGCGGCTTTAAGAGACTTTATAAGCGTTTGAATTTCCATTTTAATAGAATTTCGCGGTAATTACAAATGTAATTAAAACTTAACAACGAAGGCGGCAAATGTGACGTCGGGAGTCTCAATTTTAAAATGTCCTTAAATAAAATGCTCTTGGACGAATGAAAAATAATAGTTTAACGAAAAAATTACTGAATAGTTCTGTAATTAACATAACAAAGCATAAAAAAATCATATCTATATTAATTTGTTTTATCATAGCTTTAATGATCGATGTCTTACTTTTGAAGAATAAACATTAAATGCCAATTTAAAATTTTAATAGATTATACTGTGTTTTCTTATATAAATCTATACTTATTTAAATGAAACACCTTAGCCATGACCACGGCTCCTGCAAAGCATCCGAAACGTCGGGCCGAAGTTAAAAATCATTTTCAAATAAGTTTAACTAAAATATATAGTGTTTTAAACCGTTAAAGTGTTTTGTTTAAATGTGTACTACTCGCGTAAACTATAGACAGTATCTATACTTATGGTTTGGACGCGCAAATTTCAGGAACTACTGGTTCGAATTGATACATTATTTTCGTGTTGGTGAGAGCATTTATTGAAGAAGGTTTTATTTAGACAATAAAACATAAAGTTGCGACTAATAGAAGCGAAGAAACACAGGAGAATGTGGAAAATGGGGAAAATATTTAACTTTGAGCGCTTATGTTGCGTGAGCTGCAAAACGATACCAAAATATATGTAATAAAGATTTTTTTTCTTTAAATGATCTAGAAAAATGTATGCGACACTACGTGTCTATCTTATAAGGTTAAGTTGAAAGTACGACGGGACGCGGACGAAGTCGCGGTCACAGCCAGTATTTCAAATGGAAAAAGAACGTCTGCTTGGTCATCTAGTTATCTATTTTATTTATTCTTTATTATAGCTTAATTTTAATGATTGGTGACTTACTTTTGAAGTAATTATATGCCATTACATTTACAATTTACAAGTCAAACACCTTATTCATTCAAGTTCTTATTTATCCGTGTTAAATTAACATTTTTACAAATAACCTGAAAATCGTGCATGAAATGTAAGCTTATATCTACATGTTTTTGTGTCGTGCATGTCCTTTTCACTAGAATATTCTAGACTTTCCCTCTTCTATAGGCACAATTTGAAATTGGTTTTTCACAAAAGGGAAAACGACGTTTAATTTGTATTCATGCAGTGTAGCCGTCCACGATCGAAACTTGTGAAAAGTTGAAGCGAAGTCCGATATGAACTAGCGCCCGGAAAATTCGCTTTTCCAAGATCTGTTTTCGTGCAATCAGGCGTGGATTATGAAGAGTTTGTTTACTTGTATAGACTGTAGGTACTTCTAGGTACAAAATATTGGAGACAGATTGGTGTTAAGTTTTAAATACGTTGAAACTAATAAGTTATATTGCTTTTTTTATCACAATTATACATTGGAAATATTTTGTGGATGAATGTATGTTTGCTTACTAATTTCAAATGAGTTTGATGGCATGGAAGTAGCAGCTGGTATCCTTGGTAACAAATAAAATATTTATATTAAGCAATGTTTGCAGCTTACGCGTGTAATACATAGAAAAAAAAATCGAATCGTAAAATGAATATATTCAATTGGGTACCTTATTTTTAAACTACGATCCAAAGATTCCTTTGAAAAGAAAGACTTTGTTTTGAAGAACAACTAGCTCGAATTGTTTTTTACTTAATTGTTTATTGTAGGTATGATTTATTGAGGAAGGCTTTTTGCTATAAAACTCAAACTCCCACAGGTTTCTATAGGTCGAAAAATTGACCTATAGAAAATTCATCTTTGAGTTATTCCGCTGCGTGTGTTGCAAAAACGGATAAAATCACCGTAAAATTATGTAAACTATTCTGGTTTCAATAATATGAAAAAGTCTATAACAGTTTATGTCTATCTCTAAAGATTAACTCGCAAGAAGTATTATAATCTGTACACCTAGTAATTTCATGTGAAAAGATATGCCATCACACAATACGTGCATAGTGTAATCTCGATGTAGGCCAAACTGATTACCCGAATTTCTATTACTCACGGATCGTAAATCGTATAACGCTTAGTTATAAACCGCGGTAGTACAAGAAAATCCGTCGCCAGTTTCTTTTGCGATAACAATCTCATTTTACGGTGACGATCACGGGTGGACACAGACATAAAACACGAAGGTTATAATATTGTTATGGTGTCGTTAGATGACGCGGTTAATATATAATACAGAAATGAGTTAGAGCAACACGGAGCGTTGTGGAAAAGGTTCAAGTCCTGCCCATGTCGTAAATGTTTTTTAATTTAAAAACGATTTTTCTGAAACAAATTGGATTTTCTCTGGATACCTGGGTATTCAATGGGTGGTAGGAATTCCGTGCGGGCCACGATTCATCGCCCACAGATGAAGCTGTTAAGTTTAATCGCGTGTTGGTTGCAATCTGTCAGTTTTCCGAATATCCAATGCCAAAATAGACAACTTGTTTAGATATTATATGGCTGGAATATTTCACCTACCATCAAGTGGAGTTTACTTGGCGGTATGCTTGTAGTTAGAGCACGGAAGTTTGTGTCGCCATTTTTTATCTAAATAGATTTTTATAGAATAAAATATAATGCCATCTTGTGCATTTCATAAGTGTATATCCAAATATATCAAACGTTATTTGCACCTTAACAGCACGGTAGTTCTGAATAGATCTCTAATTATAATATCTTTTTAAAGGAAGTAGAAGATATGAGAGTACGTACAGAATATTCTTGGGAACCCTCATCATAGAGTATCCACCGAGGTTAATCCCAGCTGGAATATGCGTACGATCACCACTTACGTAAGCTGTTCGTTCTGCTACACCACCAGACTTTATCAACATCTATGGGATAAAAAATAATATAGTTAGTACTAAGATAGGTTATGGAAAAACTATGTCTTAGAATGGATATCTTGTGCGTAAGAAAGTAGAATTAGAAAAATAATTGTTTAACAATTATATTTTTTGCAGCGAGGGTGTTTTAAAAAAAAATTGAAAAATAAAAAAACCCACCCAGACTTAAAAAACGAAGAGGTTTTTCTTATTCATGTCATAAACGAATGTTTACTTCACTCGCATCTGTAATCGACGCGAGTGGTAGGTACAAATTAAATCGATCACTTTTAACCCTTTAAATTACAAACATATGAAGTTGTTAGTCCTACTATTAACAATTTGTAGAACAACTGAAGGAACGGGCGGGAATTCGAGAATTGATCGTGTCATTATTTTTTTATCTTAAAATAGATAAATACTGTCCGTAGTTTACACGAGCAGGACACATTACATACATAGACACCCCGTCTCCCCGTGACCACGGCTGCTGCAAAGCATCCGAAACGTCGGGCCGTAGTTAAAAATAATTAAAGTTTAACTAAAATATATTGCGTTTTAAACCGTTAAAGTGTTTTATTTAAACTTAAAATGGTTTTTAATTCACATATTCGCGAACAGTTATAACTCGTTTTTTTTTTCGATGAACAAAAAAGACAGGTGTTTTATTTAGCGGTATTGTAAATCGGCATTTATAACTAAGCTATGTTTGAAATTTCGTTTTCTATAACGTGTCCCAGTGTGATTCGAACCCGAGACCTAAAACTTAACTCAATACTATGCAAAGAGTTTAAAGCAGAAAAAAAACCATATTATTCTCCACAAAATACACATGCTTTTGTCTTCATAGAGCAAATAAATTGTGCAATTTATAATGTCGCAAATGTCTTTCGTTCAATGATTTAGACGATTTCTTCTAAGTGTTCTGACGATTTGCTTTATGGAGGCACTCAAGCCATCATCCCTGTCTAGTCGAAGTAATGACTTACCGCCAGCATATCAGCGTCGAAATTGTCGACACCCACTGCCGCTTGGTAATTTTGACGGACCTCGGCGTATTTATCTGTGGAAAAGAATGATGATCTGAAGTAGCCAATGGATAAATAGAATTGCGAATTTTACTAGTTGATTGGGAGATGTTTACGGCTAAAAAATATTCCAGCGAACATACCGTTTTTTCTCGCTCTGTTTCACTGTAAAATTAGTTGTCTGTGCCCAAAATTGTTCAGAGACCTCGGGAAAATGTTTTTGTGGGCGGGGTCGTTGCTCTAATGGTAGACTAATGCCCACCAAGTCCAACACGTTTATAATCGATTTATAATTCATCTGTTCTGTTTCTGTAGGAATATCCAAATTCCGTCACGAACCACAGACCACAGATGAAAGTCGTTAAATTAATCCCGTTTCGGTCTGTGGATGTGTCCGTATACCCAAAGCCAAAAAAGGTTGACAGCGCACCTTGTTGACTTGCCATATGGCGGAGGTGTTTTAACTTTAATCAACTGAACCCTTATCTTGTCAGTCCTCCTTAATAAAAAACCAACTAAGTACTACCTATGTACCACATTATTTACAACAGTCTAGTGGTACAATCTCTAGTATAACGGAGCGGCGTGCTCAACCATAAGAACTATTTACTTTTATTTTTTCAGCCAGTATTTTTTTCGTGTTTGCGCGCCAAAATGTTTCTTTGACAGATAACACATGTATAAAATTCGTACTTCATCTTATGTATTTCCTTGCACAAAGAAGTTCATTAAAGTAAGCGTGCCTACCACTTGTGGGAAATGATAACATACCATCAAGATTATCCAATATCTTATAATATTTTGTTACTTCGAATTTAGGCCAGCACGCCCTTGTGTTGACAGTCTCTTTTTTAATATACTCGACATCTTCTGGAACTTTAAGCTTCCCTTCGTCTTTTACTATGTTTTCATTTTCTGCAAATAGGTTTCAAACTACATAGTTGATTAATTCTTTAAAGCCTGTATAACCCATAGAAATATGAAGACTTCGTAAAATCTCTATATCTACACTATTACCTACAAACACATATACATATATATATTTCCCTATTTCAATTCTTGTAAGAAATTTAGTAAAAGTAAGGAAAGACAAATAAGAAATTACCATCCTCAGAATTGCGTCTAAGATGTGATCGTGAAAAGACGTTCGATATATTCACAACAATCAATAAATAAAATAGAATACTTTTATTTTTAAACATTTCATACGAAACTATCAAGCTATTTCATCATTTACATTGTACGCTTTTGATATCGCTAGTTTAAAGTCATAAAATCCATTTTAATTAACATTGGAGGGAACATTTTAATCCTATAAGCTTATCAAGTGCAGAGTATTTTTATGTCAGAATATTTTCACTTCAATCGAGAATTTATTTTCAAAGAGAAAATTTTATATAAATGTAATTTATTCGTTTATAGTCTTATAAATTGTTACATGATTAAATTGTTTGTACCAAATAAAGGGTAAAGAATTTTTGATGTATAGCATAAACAATATTTAGAAACTTCACATGTCTCATGACAGCATTATTAAATGAAACATCAATTTGGATTGTTAAAACATGATACGGTAGCTGAATTGGTTAGATTAGCAGAACGGATCGCTATGGATACCAGGTCGAGTCCCGCCCGTGTCATTGGTTTTTGGTTCAGTCTAAATAGATATTTAGTTTGGTAATACTAAATTTAATGGTAACAAAAACTATATAGATAAAGTATATTAAAATTCCATAAAAAAACAGATTGTTATTAGTATTAATAACTATTTATTACAGATTATCTTTTGGTTACAGACCATGTCACGATTCCATTTTCAAATGGTGTTGACAATATTTTTATTTTTATTAATATTTATTGACAAAAGTTTTAACCATAGACAAAAATATCGCGGCAAATGAAATTCTTTTGTTACCTTGCAACATTCCATTTTATATTCTGTAGATATTGTTTCCCGCCTGAAATAGGACTGGAGTAGAATATGTTCCTAAAACGGAAGTTGTGTAATATTTCATAGTTATGGGTCGCTTTTGAGTTCAGTACATTGTGAATACTTACAACTTTAATTTAAACTATAGCTTTTATAGTCTCTGTTTGGTAAGGGGTGCTGAATTTGATATGTAACCGCAAATGGTAAATCATAAATAGGTTGAAAGAGCTATATTTAGCTTTGTTGCTCGTTAAGTATTCCAATACAAGGTTTCAGCGGAATAAAAGTTACGTCACATGCAATATATGTTTGCCTTGAAATTACGATACCAGTTTGTATAATACTTTGTAGTATTGGTATTTATAAATACACTATACACATCTAAAAAAAAATACGCTACACTATATACTTCTTTCAAGGTAATCTATTAAGAATAATTTGAAAGAACGATGGGATGCGACCGACGTCGTGAGTAACTGCTTAAATTCATAAAGATAAGGAGCCCAAAATAACTATTCTACGTGGACGAAGTCGCTGACAAAGCTAGTTTGTTATAAACGAATGATTACTATTCTAGATCTAATGAATACTTTAACAATTTGTTAATTTTTTCAGCTTATTAGAAGTAGGTACTTAATTTGGACAAAAATCAGACCCAAACTCATTTAAATTCTCACTCTTAATTACTTAGTAAAATTATGTTCAAATAAGTTTAACTAATATATCGCGTTTTACAAAATATTATTTAATAATGTGTACTACACCCCGTAAACTTAGAGTCGTTGAAACAATTTAATGATTCGATACAGAGAGTAAACTTCTTATTTGTCTAGTAACAATTTTAATATTTTCGACAGTTATTGCAAACCGTTAAAATGTTTTTAGAAAAAGAATTGACGACACGCACACATCCACAACGCCACATTAATCAGTGCCACACACCATCAATCACAATTTTTAATTCATTAGTGAGGAGAGTTTAAAAAGCTTAATTCATTAAAATTTTTCATCATCCAATATCGTATACTTAGTCAAAAATTTTGAATGAAATTATACACCATCGTATTGTGAAGTACCATAAAATTGTTTTACCTAAAGCAACAACCTTCTTAGTACCATTGTACTAAGTGAAAAGTTAACGATGTCGGATGAAGCCTCGTTTAATTTCAAGTTATTTTCATTCAATTAATTCGCGGCGGTAATAAAAAAATATTTCAACTGCGACTATGAGACGTTGTGCTTAAAATGTTCAAGTACTTTATCATCTGCGTCGTATTTAAAATTGCTGAAATTAATTCGACAGACGTTGAAAATCAACTGAATGAATATTTTAATAGTGGTAATTTAAATTTAATTTTAATGGTAGTTTTTTTATGTTCCTCATGTAATACTAGCTGTGTCTGCGACTTGGTCCGCGTAGAGTAGTTATTTTGGATATTTGATTTGTAAAGCTCTCTTTGTCTTTACAAATTCTAGCTGTTAACCACATCCCGTCGTTCTTGCAAGTTAATCTTTTAATTTAGAGCCGTTTATACAGCGCGTTATACATTGGAAACCCGCAAAGTTGATTAAGTTTCCTTATTTTTCCACATTTCCCCCGTTTTTCTCTTTCTCCACATTTCCCGCTTTCCGCTTCGCTCCTATTAGTCACGTCGATGTTTTGTAGTCCTCATATGTCGTGTATCTTCGATGTAGTGTGTCGTCGACAAATGCTCTAACCAACACAAAAATATTTTTTCAATACGAACCAGTAGTTCCTGAGTTTATCACGTTCAAAACAAACACTTTATATATTAGTATAGATTTGTATAAACAGCTTTTAAAGTAGCATTATTATTTTAGAAACTTTCAACTCCTTTCAAAAGGATTGGCAGAAGGATCGGAAGTCGTATGAAAACGCTATCAAACTTGTAAGTAGGTACAAGTTACATACAGTACATATATCAACAATCACAAGATACAATTCCAATTAAATAATAATGAGTAGTACACATTTAAATAAAATACTTCAAGGGTTTAAAACGCGATACATTACTTAGACATATTTGAAAATGATTTTTAACTTCGGCCCGACGTTAAAAATCTTTTTCAAAAGTACTTAACTTTGCAGTAGCCGTGGTCACAGGGTGTCGCATCGTGACCACGGCTGTTGCAAAGCATCCGAAATGTCGGGCCGTAGTTCATCTGTAACAATTTTGTAACATCGGACAGAGAAATGTGTTCAGTGTTGTCTTTAGTTTACGCGAATACTACACAGTGAAAAAAAAATTTTTAACTGTTTAAAATGGGTAATATATTCGGTAACTTAATTGTAATCTAATTTAACTAAGGCCCGAGGATTCGGATACTTTGCAGCAGCAGTCGTCTTTACATGACCACAATAGAAATATACAGTAAACAAAGTTGAATTAGTAAAAATCCGTGTCATCGAATTTTTTCCATGTAAAATATGTGTTTATACTTAAATTTCGACTTGATAACGAAGTGCTATATTTCTTTGCAACGCTTCAATACCCAAAGTCACAGACGTTCAGATCGGGTTCTTTGCAAAGTGGATATTATCATCTGAATCAATTTCAGGCTCTGAAGGACAACTATGGGTATAAAGGGATGAACGTCTTCATAAGAAAGTCTGCAGACTCGCACAGAATCGCTAATGGCTTCTATTTGTCTGACAAAGTAGTCGGGGTGTAAGCTTATTCTATTTATTACAAGCTTTGAATTAATATTTCTCGTTGCTCTCAGTCAGACTCGGTTGGTCTAGTGGAACATTCCTCTTTAAGATCGAAAGTTCGATCCCCAGCAGAACGCCAAATTAATTGTATAGTTTTGTATGAATTCGTACCCAGACATTATAATTGAATGTACAATATGTCAACACTTGGCATACGTCATAGATGTCACTGTTTTAGGATGGTCGAGTCCCAACTGTGGGACTAGCTAACTCATGCCATGATATACATTTTTTTTAATGATATACAAATCGTTAACGAATCTGTATTTAAGAAATTATCTCTTTTTTTATTGTTTTTTTTCGTACATCAACATTACTAATGATGTAACCTGTAGACCTATAGATAGATATAGATGTAAATATATTTTATTTGAATAATTTTCATAATATCACTGTTCTGTTTTTTAATTTTCTCAAGTTCTAATTAGTCGATGATTCCAGAATGTTTCACGAAATCTTTTTGGGGGAATTACCGCATTTGGTGGAACCGGAAGTAACATTTGCGCTCGCGTCTAACGTGCTACAAATAGACTCGAAACTCGACAAAATGTTCCTGCACACGAGATATAGTCTGTTCAGGAATCACACGGATATAGTTTTTGGCGGGAAAGTAGATAAACATTCTCCGTTCACATTTGACAGCGTGGAAATCACCGGAAACTTGGCGTGAGTTTGGCTGTGGTCTACTATAAAACTAGATATAGTTATGTCATGAATAGATAGATCTATGTCCCAAGATTCCCTCGAAAGCATCGTAGCGGGCTGGTGGCGTGTTTATTGGTTCTGGTTGGCTATTGTCTCCGAGGAGGTTGTAGTATGATAGACCACACTCCCCACGTCACTATTGCTCGACGTAGGCGTGCATAACCATTATTAAAAAAAGAGATAGATCTATGTAATGAGATCTATGTTCTGCCCTAAGTATGACTGACATCTGTAGATCTTCATAGTAAGCTATTTCGCTTGAACTGGTCTACTGCATTTATAGGAGACCGCTGCTTTAACTTTTGATGTATATATCTAATGGTTAAATATCTAATGGTTAATTATTTACATGTTAATACAAATAAATATTCAAATATCAGTTTTATTTATAGTATGTAGTAATTTCGTCTCGAACAATAAAAAATCTTAGTAAGTCACAAATCTCGAGTCGACCATGTTTGAAATGAAAATGTTTACCAAATAAAATACAGACAAAACAATAAGGGTTATTTAAAGAGGGCAAATAAGTATTTAATACATTTTTAAAAAATTTAAGAAATATATAATTTTATTGATATAAACAATGTTCTTACGTACATTAGTTCTTACTTAAGCATTAATTAAAAATATTCTAAGTAAAACCTATGTTATAGCCTGTATTGCAATTTGTACAGATTAAATAAAACGGTTTTTATTTGTTTCAAATGTATTTTTTTTTATTTAATTATGCTTTAATCGTAATGATAGGGTAGTTCAAAGTAGCGCGTTTGAAACCGTTAAATAAAGATAGCGTAAATAAGTATCTAGTATTATGTCTTAATTTCTAGGATAATAGCTGACGACTGCAAACTTTCTGGTTCCGTCCTTACGAAGCTGAGCGGTCAATCTGTGGATATAGGACACAGTAACTTCATGGTTTCAAACTGTAAATTTACCGTCGAAGTAAGTAACTAACATATATTACTATACATTTTATATTGGCGTTAGATTATGTAAAAAAAAACTGGACTTAGAATGAGAGCCAATCTGAAAATAAATATTATATACATATATGATATACGATTAACAATAATATGTCACCAAAAATATGGATTTGAAGTGAGTTTTTCTTCTTAGATCTCCTCGGTAGGGTATGGTCGTGAACCAGTTATCGCACCATATTTCACTAAACAGAAAAGTAAGTACATTTATTACTACGTGTGTCGGTGACCTCGTGATAGTTATTTCAGACATGCAAATTTTATATTTCAAACATTCTTCTCATCTATGTAAATTATAGCTTTTACCCATGTTGTCGGCCGCGTCCCGTCGTTCTTGCAGCTCGACTTTAAAAGATAAACATATACTTTTTGGATAGCTATTTGATTCATAATACGTACCAACTGACCTATAGTTAGACCCATTTGAGCAAAGGTTACTATTCCCTTCTAATGTTTAAATGTGCATAGGTAAAGCGCTTGAAAAGTTAATCTCGAAGCCAATACGCGAAGAACTGTTGCCAAAGTTGCAAGCCACACTGCTAACTTACGTCAATACAACACTTATTTTCCACGACCGACTTTCGGAGTATCGGTAAGGCTGGAGTAGATCGATCTAATTACTGGGATCTCTTTGGTTTAATTGAATGTATGATTTGACTTGGCTTACGTGTGAGATATATAGCTAATCTAAAATTGTTAAACTTAAGTATTGTCTGTAGTTAACATATGAAGACATTTTAACGCTGTGTAACGCCAAATATATTAGATAAATTATTTTTAACACAAATAAAAAAAAAACACAAAAAAAAAAAAAAAAAAAAAAAAAAAAAATGAAAAAATTCAGAGGCGTCGTAAACTTATAATGGATTTGTAATTAAAATTATTTTTATTTTATTCTAACGATGGCCCGACGTTTTGCAACAGCCTATGGATTCATTAGATATATGTGGGGAACAAACGTAAGTGTCGATATCAGAAGTAGAAGACAGCGACAAACTTTTCAAAAAAAAATTAAAAAAAAAAAAAAAGGGGTTTAAAACCGTAAAAGTGTTTTATTTAAATCACAGAATGACTTTTTTGCCACTACACACATTGCTTTACTCACACGGAAAATGCATTTATTCAATAATCTCGTATAGGCAACACCAACGCAGAATATTTAAAGACACGTCAAAACACGTCATGAAAATCATAAAGAACTTGGCTGTGGGCTTGATACAGCTGAGTCAGGGGCCGATGAAGTTGAAGCCTTTTGATGTCTCGTCGGACATAGTGAGTTTTTTTTACAGTTCTTCTAATCAGCTTTTTCAGGTTTGGCAAGAGTTTTGACTAAATGACTGAGTCTTATTGTATGTACATAAACTATTTCCTAATTCAATGCAATGGTCTTAACCTCGAATATTTATTGCACAATAATAATTCAAATGAAACTTTGTCCTTTGTGATTTCCTATCCTAAGATATAAGAAAAACAAATGAGCTATAGACAAACGAAACTAATAAAAAAATATATATACAAAACCGAATATCGAGAAAACTTAATCAGACGTCAAATAAAGTAAAATGTCAAGTCGTAGTTTAAAATTTATATTTTTCGCGTTTTAAACTGTCAACTATTGTATTTTGTTTCAGTGTGTCGAGAGACCTTGTCCCATTGGTGCAGCAGTACATGATGTAAATGTATTCGGTCTGGATACTGTGTATTCGGGGCACATGGGAGGACCGTTCAAGTTGCAGTCACTGAAAATACATGAAGATATTCGTTTCAACTATATCTTGGTATTTGAACCATCCGCACCACTTTCGTTAACTGACCAACCGCAAAATGTATTACTTACCTTATTTGTATATACATTTCGCGTTTCAAACTGTTAAAATTGTTTCATTTCAATGTGTACTCGCGTAAACAACGATACAAAACTATTGTTACTGCGAGGTTCGAACTCATTACTTTTCACGCTTGCAAAGACAATTAATCATTCGTGGTGACTATCAGTGTAGAAGATAAACAAAGTGTATAATCAATAAGTATTTTATTTAAGTCGTTTAACAATAAAAAAAATGTTGCAGGTACGAGGTAAAATATCATTCAAGAATACTACCTTTAATCGTGAACACGGCTTCTCTATTGAACTAGGCGATGTTACATTCAATACGGAAATAGACATAAGTAAAAACGTACAAAATTGTGAATTTGTCAGTTGGAGGTAATTATAGTTGAATATATTTAGGCTTGTAAGTAGTACTGTTGACAGCAGATCGCAAGGTCCAGGATCCGAAGCCCTTTTTAGTCTCAGGCCAGGTCTTTAGCCGCTTCCATTTACAATTTCGTGGCGGTAATCTTCAAAACTCGTCAACTCACATTTTATTAGCGTGGTGGGTCTTTATCGGGGACATGTATTCAGATATGGGATAATGATACTTTTAAATACAAGCTTTACCAATAATTAATTTCAGATCAATAGAAATTGCTATTTTCGGATTTATAAACAATGTCGAGGAACGAATGAACGCGAATTCATTTTTAAGCGCATATTTATATAATGAATTACCAAAGACGCTAACAAAGCACTTACTCAAGGCATTTGGTAATAACTTTTATAAACTAGCCCACAAAAGCGATGATGAAAACGCAAATAATGATGCTGAAACTAGTAGTAAAGAAATTAATGAGGAACAAAATCAAAGTGTCAGTGATGTCAATATTGATGAAGGTAATGGCGTAAATGTAAAATTTGATAAAGCAGAGGAAATTAAAAAACTTGGTATAGGCGACCGGGGAAAAGGTAGTAAAAAAAGCAAGTTTAGTAAAATAGGTTATGGTAAATTATCACATAAGTTTAACGAAAAGTTTACCGATGTAAATTCTTCTTCGTCGTCGAGCAGCGACGAAACAGGTGACGAGAAAGAAAGTGACAATTTATCTAATAAAAAAGAAACCAGTTTAATTAAATCCGATAAAATTAAAAAGAGTACAAAGAAAAAAAGATTTGACAAAGTTGTGGACAAGAGCAAATTGATTAATATAATGCCTTACAGTAGTGCTAGTGGCAATATTGAAGACAAACACGATGAAAGTGACAACGCTAATACAGGAAAATTTTCTATGAATCTATCGATGAAGAAACCTAAAAATAACGAGAATTTTAAATTCGAAGAGTTTAAGGAGACAAAAAACAAAGCTTTAAAGAAAAAAAAACTTAATAATACTATGGGAAAAGGAAAAAAGGAAAACCGTGGCAACAGCGATGATGATGATAGCCTGTCAGTCGACCAAGCGCGGGTACCTGATAGGAGTCAAAGTATAAATTTTGAAAAAATACCTATGAAATTAAAAAAGAAGCCTGTATATGGAGGTATAATAACTGTCAACGGCGGAAATAGTAACGTAAAATTTCCTAAAAGTGGAGAAATTAAAGGGCACAAAGACGAAACTTCGAAGAAAAAGAAATTACCGAAACTCGGACAGATTTCGGAAAACGATAGCAAAAATTATGATTATGACAAATCTATCAATCACAGATATGTTTCCGACGAGAGCAGTGTCGCTTACAACCGTGCAAAATCACCTATGAAAAGACAGGGGAAAGTACAAAATAAAAACATGGATGCGAAGAAAAAAGGGAAAATTAGAATCGGACAGCTCAACAAACATAACCATCATGCAAATGATCGGCTAAGTGTTGCTGATAATAAAGAAAGAATAACCCATCTAATGTAAATAAAAGTAAGAAGGCAAAAAAAGTTTAAAATAAAGCAAAGACTTATAAATGCGTTGTCATTATTTGAATATTTATATTCCATCAATTTAATTTATTGCGATTCAAAATTCGCAAGTGAGTAGAATAGTATCTTTATGATTTTTCATGAAACTTGATTGTAAAGAAATTATTCACAAGTAACTACTTATACATTGACATATACACTACACTACACTACACTAGGTATGTCAGGGACTTCGTTCGCGTAGAATTTGGCCATCCAAATTTGTTTTGAACCGTTTTCTCAGCGAATAATTTTCCCGTTTATTTTCACATTCCCCGCTGTTTCACCGCTTCTATTAGTCACAGTGCAATATTTTATAATCTATAACATTCCTCGATAATTGCTCTAACCAACACAAAATAATTTTTCAACTCAAACCCGAAGTTCCCGAGATCGGCGCGTTCAATCAAATAAACAAACTCTTCAGCTTTATGAGTATAGATATAAATACTTTTATCTAAACGATAAGTTGAAAAGATATCTTAATTAGTTGTGGCCAGTAATAAAACATATTTTAAAGTAGTGTATATTATTAAACTTTATACAGCCTTGTAGACTATCGCATCTTCATCAACTTCAGTTAAATAATCAGGTATAACTGGCCGCGGTGATGGTTTCCAATCTCTCATTTTGATTTCGTTACTGAAACATACAACAATAATATTCATACATTCGGTAAGCCGTTGTTAATAGTAATCTAGTGTAAAAATGGTTCACAAACTCTGACCATTGTGTAAAAGATTTTAGATTTCTGAAAAAATTTCTCAGATTTAGACTCTGAATTCGTGCAGGTTGAATGCTTCACGAATATCCGAAAAATCCTGTTTAAATCGCTACTAGCCACCGGTTTCAAAACTTTAGAGAAATAAACAACTTGGTAACGAGGGACTTACTTCTTATGAAGATATTCTTCTTCTTTAAGAGATTAGCGTTTACTTATTAATTGTAAAAACGTCTGTCATATACGCAAAACACGATATATATTAGTTAAACTTATTTGAAAATTGTTTTACTTAGGCCCAACGTTAAGGATGCTTTGCAGCAGCCGTGGTCACTGTGTTTTATTGAAATATACAGTTTATTATTACATTTTTGGATTATATTATGTTTAGCAATCCACACCAGATTGCTGTGTAATATTATTGAATTCAAAATACCTTTTCGGACTGTCTTCAACTATTATTCTAATGTCAGGTGAAATGGACTGAGTGGGTCTAACGATTTCGTCCACATTGTCCACGGAATCTTTCTTGAGATTATCGTCGTAAATATTATCCACCCTAATCTCGGTAATCGGTTCGAAATGTCTCATTATTATTTGCGAGGAACCGCTCTGCCAAACAGTTGTTGAAAATATGGGATTTGGTATCATCGCAATGTGACGCGTGGGCGCCGCTGTGAACTTGTAGTGGTTTGGCTTCTGAAATAATAATCATTAGATTGTTAAATTTTTACTATTTAAAGGCGAAATATATTTGTTAAATTTATAAGTTTATTTGCATATTTTAACGCGCTAATCTCAGGAACTACTAGTGAAAATAAAAAAAATATATTTTTGAGTTCGTAAGAATATTTATTGAGGAAGGTTAAAGCTAGACAACATTGCGCTGCAACTCATTGGAGCAAAAGCAGCGGGAAATGTGGAGAAAACGGGGAAAATTATTTATCTTTGTGAGGTTTCCATTACGTATGCTGCGAAAACGGTTCAAGATATCTAAAAATCTGTTTAAAAGAATGATTTCTCTTTAAATATATGAAAGATTAAGCTGCGACACTATAAGCTACATTTTACGCGACTGACGTCGTGGTTAACATCTTGAATCTGTGAGGATGAAGAAGGGGTTAGCAAAAATAAATCTACGTGGACAAAGTCGCTGAAACAGCTAGTGTATAGCAGCTGACAAAGCATATGGCCTATCTAACCCCTACAGTTAAGGAATAAATAATCCCACTTTTGCATCAAATAATTTCATAAAGTAAAATTCTTACCTCTTGTTTAATAGTTGATTCTTTTCTTTTATTCTCTGAATATTTTGTGAGTTTCTCAGCGTAATTTCGGTTATCTTGCACTTTTGACCACTTTTGTGAAAGGGGTTCGTCCCGATTCACATATTCGTCCTGATAATCACCCGTTAGATTGTGAAGGAAATCTGTTAAAGAATTTTCATAGAGGAGTTAGAAATGTTTTTTTTACCTTTATTGTAGCTGACTTTCAAAAATTTATGCTAAATAGTAACAGAAAGTTCTGATCGTTGAAATTATTTTTTTTTTCTCTTAGATTATTTTGGAAGTTCGAGGTTACCAGTCTTCCATATTACTAAGAAATACTTGAATTAACTCTTAGTTTCTAAGTTATATTTCTAGAATTTATAAAAACATTAATAGTTTGTAATTTACAATGTGTACAATTTTCCTTTCAAAAATCAAATAAAACTATACGATATCCTTACTGTCAACATCATTTCCCATCCTGCGTTTGTTGCCTATCAAATCTGGTTTGTCTTGAAATTGACCTCTTCGCATGTACACTCTGACATCAGCTCCTGAAATCAGCACTCTTATTTGGCCAAATCATATTGTACCAAGATTAAGAGGAAATTAGAAAGTTACTTCTAATTTCTTTAATTTAAGACTTTTATTAGAGTTATTTCAATTAAAGGCACATTCTTAGTCATTTACATGAAAATTTTTATGTGGATGATGAATTCTTTTTTGTTACTCCCATGTTGTTAACTTTGGCGTTTATTCAATTTTAGCATTAATAATGTTGTATAAACATTGCATACTTATCTTTTGACAAAAAAGCAATAAATAACTGATTAGAAAAGGTAAGCAAGAAAAAAAATGTTTACATTTTCTCAGAATATTAAACTGAAGTAGTTTAAATCAATAGTAGCATCAATTTTCAATCAAAAGTTACAGTAATGTAACATACGAACGACTAAGGTACGGTTAGTTTCACTAACTTGTAAGTGTCACAAATTCCGCCAAGCAATAGTTATAGCCGTACGCAATTCCAGCTACTACCGCCACACTTAGCCCGCAGCACACACAGAGCAGCAGCCAGCAGGAGAGGAAAAATGTTAATATTCTGCAGATAAAAGATTTATTAGAACAACTACCTATGTTTCAAAGGGAGTGGACAGCATATATCTTCAGACAGATATATGCTATCGCGAACATTTTTCGATTATTTAAAGAGATGTTTTACGATTCGAACCAGTTATTCCCGACATTAGCGCGTTCAAGCAAACAAACAAACACTTAAGTTTTATATATTAGTATATAGAGAAGCTCTTTAGGCTAAAAAATATAACAATGCAAGCAATCGGTTTAAGATATCTAAAAAAATATCGCGGACAGTATGTGCCTATCTTTTAAGATTAGCTTGCAAGAACAATGCGACGTGGACACGGACGACGTGGTGGGTAACAGCCATAATTTATATTAAGCTAAGGACGTTGTAGGCAAAAATAAATTGTATTTCGAACCAGTAGTTCCTAGATTCCACGCGTGAAGAAGACATTGGCAGCATCTATGTAAGTATAGAAAAAGAGTACCTCTGAAAGAAGTCCAAAGACCACGCGAAGCAACTGCAAATGTAGCACATGCCCCAGCTATTTGATATCCAGCTAAAGTGTAATTCATAACAGCCCTTTCAAATCTGGCTTCATCTGAAACAAGAAGATACAAAATACCAAATGATGGGGCCATGGAATATCACAGTTGGGACATTACTCCCAACGTAGCTGAGTGGTTTCCTTCAGAGGCAACTGTGTTATTTCTGTATTTAGGTACAAAGTATTATAATTGTAATCTTATCTAATATACTATACAAATAAAACATTTAAAAATCGAAAATAAATTGAAAAAAAAAATTTCGACTCAGGCAGGACTTGAACCGGCATCGTCAGCTTTCCGTGCTGTTGCTCTACCAATTGAGCTACCGAGTCCTACACCTCATCGCCGAATTTTTTCAACTTATTGATACATGCACCTCTCGCGCAGTGTAATTTCAACCTTAACACTTGTGTACTAAGGTTCAATGTCTTATGCTTTGCATTTAAGAAATCATTGAAGATGAAATTACAAAGTTATAACGTTTGAAAACATTAATGTTTTTCACATGTTATTGCACATGAAGGCACTATATAATTTAAAAATCGAAAATAAATTGCAAAAATTTTCGACTCGGGCAGGACTTGAACCGGCATCGTCAGCTTTCCGTGCTGTTGCTCTACCAATTGAGCTACCGAGTCCTACACCTCATCGCCGAATTTTTTCAACTTATTGATACATGCACCTCTCGCGCAGTGTAATTTCAACCTTAACACTTGTGTACTAAGGTTCAATGTCTTATGCTTTGCATTTAAGAAATCATTGAAGATGAAATTACAAAGTTATAACGTTTGAAAACATTAATATTTTTCACATGTTATTGCACATGAAGGCACTATATAATTTAAAAATCGAAAATAAATTGCAAAAATTTTCGACTCGGGCAGGACTTGAACCGGCATCGTCAGCTTTCCGTGCTGTTGCTCTACCAATTGAGCACCACTATTATTATTACCTTACCTACCTTACCAAATAGAACATTATTAACGGTTCAAAGCGGGATATATATTATTTTATTTTATTGTTAACTTATTTACACATGGTCAGTTATGAATTGGCCCGAGATTTTGGATGCTATGAAGCAGCGTATGCAGGTCTTAAACCGTTAAAGGTGTTTTATTTAAATTCCTATATTACGTATCAAATCGATATGGATCAATCTTCGTTAAATTTACGTGACATAACAATATTTTTTTCGAGTTTTAAGCCGTTATAAGTGTTATATTAAATTTGTATCTATTAATCCCGTTATCTAAAGACATTAAAGTTTAAATCTTGGGGAAAATTCATGCCCTTTTGTGTGTCTCACAAGTATATTATTATGCAAAGTATGTGTGGATTTTCATACAAAAAGTGTGCATTTACATGCCAGTTAATTTATTCAAAAGCACGTACAAAGTTAATAACAGTAAAGCCAACGTATCAAAGCCAATATTTGCGAAGTAGAGAGTGCAAAAATCTAGACAAATTCTATTATGATAATCTTTAGTCAGTAGATTACAATTTAAATACGTAAAACATTTTGTTGTTAAAAATATAGCAAAATTTGTTGTTTCGCCTTTATTATATATATAACGTTATATGGCTGTGATATTTCCCAAATAAATCCCATGTTTGTCTGCTCTACTCTATCTTATAATAAAACAATAGACCTACTTTCAATACAAAAATAATGATTTATTCTTAAGTAACTCGTAATATTACATTGAAATAAGTCTTTTATTAATTGAAACACTAATAACGGTTGAAAACTGAAAGTTACAACTTAATTTTATCAGCGATGTTTGGAATAATTTACCGCCATGGACATTTTCCCTATTTTGAGCTTGAAGCCTTCAAAAATGTTTTATTTAACGTATACCACTTGCGTAAACAACAATAATTACTGCATTAATACATTAAATATTGCTCTGAAGCATTCTTAACTTATTGGAACACATAATTTTGATCATTCTATAAGGCTAATGAACGAAAAACTAATGAAGTTTTTATGTGCGTAAAGATAGCGTCATAGGTTCATAAACTATACATATACACACTAAAAAAGGTAGGTTATTCCTAAAACGGCGCCCTTTTAATTGTACTACTTTTTTATATATATATCTGTTTCATTTCCAGACAAGGTGAATCATTTCATTTTGTAAAATAACAAACACGCCACAGAGTGAATTGGAACGGAACAAGAACGGAATCAAACATCAATTGGCAACACTTTACGTTTCCCATTTTGTAAAGTTTGTATTATATGTCTCGTGCACTATCTGTGGCTTATATGAGTAGTACATATTAAATAACACTACTTCAAACGGAAAAGTGTATTATAATACGCGTAATGTCGGGTCGTAATTGTTTTTATTTTGTTTATGTTATAATTTACATGATGGAAGGTAAAATTCCCCAGCCTATAGCATCAAAAAAATGTGTGCCAACTAAAATGTGACTAAAATCGAAACGTGACCCTACTTCAGGGCTTTTTCATTTGTGCGCGGTGGTTCGTTATCCGGACGGAATTTCGATATTTTGACCATCCATTTAATATCCAGATTTCTAGACGAAGTCCAAGATGTTTCAGAAAACATTTCAATTTAAAAATTAGAAATATGTTGCACCAATTGGGATCCAACCCACGACCCGTTGATACGTAGCTGTACATTGCCATTATAACAACGAGCCCGTCAAAAAATATATTTCAAGTATTGAACGGTTAAAACTGTTTTATTTAAATAAGCCTTTAGTATGAGTATTTTAATTAATACCTTGGTTTTTTATTTTATAGTGCTAAAACTTATTAAGATTGGCCGGTTCAGTAACAATTAAAATAGTGTAAATTACTATTTTAATTGTTAAAAGAAGAGAAGATCGGTATTTTAACGATAAATCAACAATTCGAAGAATAGCCGTCTGTAATTGGACTTTGAATAAAAATTCTCGCTTTCTCGTAATTACTAGGCGTGACAACCTTACACTTCTAGAATCTGAAGCTTATAGTCTAGTTCTTATGTTTTCTTTAATCCAGCAAGGTATAAAAGTGACATATAAATCTTAATTGCCCTAGAATTCCTCGATTTAGGCTTACGTCTACCAGAAAATTGGTTAATTGTTAAACACGAAAATTCTTATTGACACATTTGATGTTTCGCCATGACTAGTGGATAACGTCATTAGGCGACGTTATGACCTCAAGTAAGTGTAGTAAAAGCCCAGCCCAATATTTTGGACTGCCAAAACTACGTGAGATGGCCTAACGGCTCGAAATTATTTTAATTTTATGTGACACGAAGGGCCAGCATGGGATTGATTTAATAACATATAAACAAAATGCGCTGAAAACTTATTTTGGCTTTGGATATTCGGAAATCCACCGAGACGCGATTCCAGACAAAGTTTAATATGTTTCAAAAAATTATAATTTACCTTGAAGGGTCCAAGCTACGACCCGTTCAATATTAGCCATACATAGCTATCATTAAGCAACGGTACAGTACACGGTTTTGCCCGCCTGTGTTAGATATCGTTATAATTTTATATATAGATATAATTTATTTAATTCTTTTTTTAAATACTTTTCTCCTTTATAAACACTCTTTCAGTGTTAATTTAACTAAAACCTCTTGCGAACTAACAATACTAAATGTATTGTACTGTAAGCTTGGCGCTAATGTATTTACTAGGCCATTCTATCCCCAAAAGCTCATTTTGTATGCAGTAAACACATGACGCACTGTTACGTACGCAAACATTGTCCCTTTGTTTGTATATTGTTTGTGAACAGCTACTTGTAATACGCTTTAAAAAAAACTAGGCATTCCAGCAGTTTTACCCGCCCTATGTGTTCGGTATACGATTAATATTGAATTGAAAAAGATACTTACATTATTGTAACTGATTTGTTTTCAGCTGTCTTTTGCGTTGTGTCAATTGACAATACATTGACAATACATTCTGTGTTGTCAATATTGCAATGCAGATTGTATATTCAGACAGAATATAGATAACTAGCTATTACCAATGATGTCGTCCGCGTCCCGTCGTTCTTGCGAGTTGATCTTAATATCTACACATATCTATCGATGTAGATATATATTAATATAAGATAAAAGAAAATTATTATTAGATCATTCTTTCGCACATATTTACTGGTTTCTTTCAACCGTTTTCGCAGCGCTGGCCACGGCATCGCAATATAATATATATTAAACATTCCCTCTGTTTCTTTGCTCCTATTAGTTGCAGACAGAAGTTATATATTCTAAAGTCTTCTTGGATAATTATCCATGCAATCAACCATACGCAAAAATATTTTTTTCAATTCGACCGAGTAGTTTCTGAGATTAGCGCGTTCAAACAAATAAATAAAATCAAATAAGTTGTAGAACGTAAAGTGTGCCAAAAAGTGTAAGATCTTTGTTTAAAACTCTTAAAATATTCTTATAGTTTATGACTGGAAAAATAAATATTTATTTGTATAAAAAGTTGGTATATATCAACATTTGAAATGAATGCAAGTCACTTCCACTATACAGTAGCTCAAACACCACATTTTCAGTTCCAGCCTTGCGTATCATCTGTTTTCAGTCGTTCGCTTGTCGCTTCCAAGCGTGGACGTCCGCCCGCTCAACACCGCGTTCGTGTGCGAATAAAACTTTTGCGTTACGATTTCTTACAATAGTTTCTATTTGTGTTTTTCGTGCCATACGTTATAACAATAGTGAGGATTCTCTTAGATAAAGGTTAGTTCCAATTATTTAATATTTGTAATAATATATCAATGTATCAAAAAAGTAGGTATAAAATATGTTTAAATCTTCACAAAAAAAATATTTTAACAGTTAAAAACGCAATCTATAATAGTCAGCTTATGACCCCCCGTGACCACGGATGCAAAGCATCCGAAACGTCGGGTTGTAGTTAAAATACGTTAACAAATATATTTCTCGGTTGAAACTATTAAAATAGCATTAATGTGTACTCCTAGGATTTTAAAACTTAGTACTTCTGAATTTATTTTGTTCTGTAAATAACGAATACCTACATAAACAACACGTTTTATCAAAAGAATAAAAAAAGCAGTCGAGCCTTTTATTGAATTTAGGAAGATTGGTTCTTATCTGGTTTTTTATTGTGCATAAATAGCCCACTTACACTCTTAATGTTGACAGTTTGATTCTTGAAAACTTAAATATTTTTCACAAATATTAGACATGATGACATAACATAAATTAAAAATCGATTTTAGACACAGTTACTCAGTTGGGTGATGGTTCAGGTCTCGTTCGTATCGTATTTTTTTTTCAATTTCAAATCTAAAGGATCAATTTTTAAATAAAACACTTTAACGGATTAAAACGCGATATGTTAGTAAAACTTATTTGGAAATATTTTTACCTTCGGCCCGACGTTTCGATCTTTGACAGCCGTGGTACGGGAGACAGATAATTCTACTCAAGTAAAATTTTAATTCAACGTTAAGTTTTTATTTAAAACTCTTCTTAGACAGTATTTCAATTTTTAGTTCGATTCTTGTCTGGTCTCAGGCGAAGAAAACGTCTGCTAACGAAGTGTGATTGTGTGGTAACTATAATAATACTTAAATACTGTCTATAATAATACTTCTCTAATTATTTTATTGATTCAATTTTGATTCTTTTTATTAGTAATTTTTTTACATCAATCAAACGAGTACAAATTTTGAGATTTATTGCTCTTTCATAACTTTGTAGTTTTCCTTAGTATATTGGCGGAGTGTTTTTATATCTTAAATAAGCCCTTTAATTTTAAATAAGAAAAACAATTATATACTTACCTATAATTAAGTTTTTCTTTTTTTAAGGAAGAATATTTTTATTTTCCAGAGACTCAGAAATTATCAATCTATCTAATAACTAAGGTTTTTGAGCGTTAATCTCAGAAACTATTGGTTAGAATTGAAAGATACTATTTGTCTTGGATAGAGCTTTGAGGAAGCCTTTAGGTTTTTTATTAGCTGGACTAAACAGTAATCATGAAAATTGAAAGATCAGACAAACGAAAACGTTTGATTAACGAAAAACTCTGTAGATAAGTATTTCTTTTAATGATTAAAAAATTCCGCACATTTTCTTTATTACCTCGTGTATAACTATAGCTAATATGTAGAATCATTATCACCAATGATTTGTTAAATTTGTATCAAATAATACTTATATAATCTTGTAAACAACAAAACAAGTTTTTTTACTATAAGACTGATAATTAACTTTTATAATCTTTTTTGAAAAAAGTAAAATCCCATTTCTTACCGTTGACATGGGACGTACACATTTCATAAATAAATAAAATGTTTTTTATTCTCTGTAAAATTAAAAAAAATATTGAAATTCGTAAAAAAATATTAAATAATATGGTTGTCTGTCCGTTTATCGTGATTCTACAGAGTGTTCAAAAGAGCAACATAACCGAGAAGAACACCCAAGAAACTCAGTCTGGCATTTTTCAACACGTCTTACAAACTTATACATTTTTGTGAATTTAATGACCTAAGGAGCAATTCATATCACTGCCAGGCAGCCCTGCCATTGAAGAAGTCTTTTAAACAATAATACGCATTTTGAGACAATCTAAATTTTATGACTTTTTTGAACTTAATTATTGATAAATTTAAAACCTCAACTGGCAATGTATTATACATATTATGTATTATACATACGAATACAATTCCCCGCAAATAAATTAGTTATTTCTGTGTCCCTTTCATAATTGTTTTTTTTTACAAGTACTTAGTTAATCAAACTACAAAAAAAGAATATGTCAGTCGGACAGAAAACAATCTGTTCCCCGGGATTCAAACCCAGGACCTTTCGCGCTTAACACAATGCTACACGTTACCATCTACAAAGAGCTACAAAGACTGTGGCGTTGAAGTTGCAACATTTAGATAACAATGAATATAAATTTAAAATGCGATAACTATTCAGCAAGACTTTGTCTCGACTCTCGAGTGTAATAAAATAATTTCTCTTAATTGTACTCGTAATAAACATACGTACTCGTGTTATCGAATGATGTCTGCGCGTGACATCAATTGTAAATGTTTAATAAAGGCTTTAGAATATTCAGTTAGTTCAGTTGTGCGATAATATTTCATTGTTTTTGTTTACGATACCTTTCCACGCGATGTTGGTGCTGGGGGCTTATTGATGATAGGTTGGCGTAGAGGGTCACATGTTTGGTATCTAAATTAAAATTTTGATTAGATTAAAAAAAATACGATACAGTCGGGCTTGAACAGCCGTCCATTAATTATGTGTGACATGGTAGTTCGATTGGTTAGAGGACTAGCAGTTGTGGATGTGTTCAAGTCCCGCGCGTGTCGTAATTTTTTAGAATCTTAATTGAATTATTTTTAATTTAAAAACTATGCTTTACTTCTCTATACTAGTCAGTATAGACAAGTACAAAAATATTTTTCTATTATTATCTTTATATTCTATTCCACTTCTTATCTAAGTAAGGGGTCATCTATAAAGTACGTCACCGGAATTTCATGATTTTTTGAGCCCCTTGTCACAGGTGGTCACATTTCTGAGACCCCCCTCCCTAGTCTGACGTCACATGTTTTTCAATTTCACATGGAAAAATTATTAAATTAAAACAGCAGTTCCGAAATTAGTTTTATTTCGTTAATCGATAGAGTTGGAAATATTTTTTAGTTTAATTAATATTTCAAATCACGCGATTAGTACCTCTAGATAAATACATTAGATTTTAAAATGTGATGTCATGAACCTTAGGACCTTAGGACCCCTCACCCCCGTGACACACCATGTCACACTTTGGACCGCCCGTCCCCCCTTTACATGTGACGTACTTTATGGATGACCCCAAAGTAATACTGCTGAAAGATTTAATTAACTTAATATATTGAGTAAAGTCTTAAATCATGACAAAGACGCGTAAAATATATACAGGCGTATTTTAAGAATAACTAAATTAATTCGTACAACCCGACATTTGTAGCCACTGTAAAATATCCAACACGTCTGGTCGTCATTATACTCAGTTTTGGGGGGGGCGGGGGAAAACGGCAATTTTTTTCCCGGGGGGGTAGAAAATAGGCTTTTAAAACCGCCATAGTTGTGTATCAATGTGTACTCACGTAAACTGCAGACAATTCTTTTAGACAGATCTAAATATTTAATTCTATCCCTCTTTGTGTACTCCGAGTAAAGGCGTTTAGAGATTCAATGAATATAAAACAGAAGACGCAAATAAATATTTACTAACACCTTTCGGAACTAACGAAGTATAGTTTTATCTGAGCGACTAGCTGTGTCAGCGACTTCGTCCGCGTGGAATAGTTATTTCGGGCATCCAAATTTTTTCTTCGCTCCTATTAGTCGCGTTGTTTTATATAGCTTAAAGTCTTCCTCGATAAATGTGCTACCTAACACAAAAATATTTTTTCAATTCGAAGTAGTAGTTCCTTAGATCGGCGCGTTCAAACAAACTCTTCAGCTTTATAAATTAGTATAGATAATATTTACTAACACCTTTCAGAACTAACGAAGTAGAGTTTTATCTAAGTGGTAAAGAAACACAGCAGACCTGTGCTGTATACTACATTCTTGATGTTGAAATCTGTATTCTAGTTCAGGGTCACTTATACTCTACTTACGTTTGATGCCAGCAATATTTGCTTTATTTATCACCATGTTACTCAATTCAAGTTATAAAAATGTTACACGGCTTACTAATAACCTTGTAACAAAAATGTATGACGCCGATTACTTTCGTTCCTAATACATAACTATTGCTTTATCTATACTAATATTTGATATATTGTCTGAAGTTATATTTGAATAAAAGACTTTAACGGGTTTAAACGCGATACATATTATTTAAACTTATTAGGATATTATTACGGCGAGACTGACCCCCGTGGCAACTGCTACTGCAAAGCATCAAGCAAACGTCGGGTCGTAATTAAAATAATTTCCAAATAAGTTTAACTAATATATATCGTGTTTAAAACCGTTAAGTGTTGAATATTATAAAGCCGACGAGTTTTTTGTTATTTAGTTTGAACGCGCTCATCTCAGCAACTACTGAGTCGAACTGAATTTTAGCTTTGGACATTCGGATCAATCGAAAACCAAAAACTTTAGGGAGAATATAATACCATTAATATTAGATTCCCAACGAATCCAATATTATGAAAAATAATAAAAACACTTGGACTTGGTGGGGATTGCACCACGACCATTTGATTGGCGATGTATTGTGACTATGGGGAAAAAGAAACTTATTTCAGCTTATTTTACATATTCATAAGAATTATATGATTATTTCAGTAGATATTTGAGATTTCTGCACCTACTTCCTGAATTCTGCTGAATTGGAGAACAGAAAATATCACTCTAAATGAAATGCTACCAAGGTAAGGCAGTGTTACGGAAGGAAACATTGTTTAGGGATAAAGTAAATAAAATCCCAATAAATAAATAATATTTACGAAATAATATAATTTCCAATTAAAATAAAATTCTTTTACGCTTTAAAACGCGAAATATACAACTTTAACTTATTTACAAATTATTTCAACCCGATATTGCGAGTGCTTTATAGACATGGTCACTCGGGAACTGAAGGTAGAGGGTATCCTTAACGTCAAAGTAAAAACTGCTACTCTAACGCCATCTATTGCGTTGTATTTGGTACTTGGCGACATTGGCTGCGTTGCAGAGATGTTTTACTTAAATGTGCCAACAACAAATACGATTAATATCTATTTATTTATTATTTACGATTACGTAAACCTTGCTTTTTAATACTAACATTTAGTTCTTCTTAAATAAGTAAAATGATTGGGGGTGTCCAGCTTAAAACTGGGTGTTGGCGCTATTCAACTCTCGTTAGAGCAGACAGTTTGGCTCTCCATTGTGTTTTCTGTGTAACATAAACTTACATTGTTGTCTGATATGAGTTTACGCTGACGTTATGAAATTGTAACGGATTGAATACATATCATTTAAAATGTCGTTGGTATAATTTATACTAATATCAGTGGCGTAGCTATCGTACGGCCAGGTGTTACAGTGCACCAGGGCCCTCTAACCCTATTGTTGAGAAGATATAAGCGTCAAAGAAAAGGATTTTTTAAAGATGTTTCTGCTATTTAGAATTTTGGAGGTTCATTACTTCCAGCTATGCTAAAAGAGGGGATGAGCTCCGATTCTTTCTTGAGCCCTTGTCCACCTAGCTACGCTACTGACTAATATTTATATATATTAAGAGTTTGTTGAAGGTGTTAGGGTATATAACACCAAGTTGTGACTAATAGGAGCGTAGACAGAGTGGCAAATGTGGAAAAACGGGAAAAATCATTGTAATAAAAATAATTGTTTGTTTGAACGGGTTAATCTCAGGAGCTACAGGTTCGAATTGAAAAATTATTCTTTGTGTTAGTTGAAGCATTTATCGAAGAAGGCTTTAAGGCTATAAAACGTCAAGCTGCGACTAATAAGTGGGAAGAAACCGTGGAAAATATGAAGAAAGATGGGAAAGATTACTTATCTAATACCAAAAAAATGTGTTTAAAAGAATAATCTTTTAAATAAAATACTTTTACGGTTTAAAACGCGATATATTAGTTAAACTTATTTGAAAATGATTTTTAACTTCGGCCCGACGTTTCGGATGCTTTGCAGCAGCCGTGGTCACGGGGAGACTTCAAATAAGTTCAATACTACCCGTGTCGTAAAAATTTTCCAACCCTATTTGGATCTTCAACCGTCTAATTTCTCAGTTTTATTTAAATGCCAACTTCATTCTACTATACTGTATATAATGTTGTTCACGAGATCAATAATAATATTAATTAAAAACCGATTATAAATTAAAAAAAAATGTTTGCTCTACCGCAAGGTATTTTTATGTTTTAATTTAAATGAAACATGAAAATATTAAACATTTCTAATAATATTACTCTTAATTGAACTTAATTTGTTGACATTATTATTCATTATTTTCTTGATTACTTGTGATTTATTTCATATATATATTTTTTTTAAATGAAAATAAATTGAAAAAATTGTCGACTAGGGCAGGACTTGAACCGGCAGCGTTCCGTGCTCAATTGGTAGAGCAATCCCCTTTCCCTCCCCCCCCCCTTCCAAATTTTTTTTTTTTAGCTAATATTTTAAAAAAATATACTGATCATTGAGAACTAAATTTTCGATTTTTAAATTATATAGTGCCTTCATGTGCAATAACATGTGAAAAATATTAATTTGATAAGTATTTACTAACCCGGTCGGTAGCATCTATTTGCTTCTAGTTTGTGAGAAAATACTATTACGTTTTTGCGAGAATTTTGTTTTTGAAGGCATTACACAGTTTAAGCTTAATACTGTCAGTAGTTTACGCGATTAAAATACTGTAACGGTTACGTGGTCACGGAGAGGCCTGGTCTTCCGTGACCACGACTGATAAAAAGCATCTGAAACGTCGGCCATAACTAAAATTATTTCCAAATAACTTTAACTAATATATTTCGCGTTTTCAACCGTTAAAGTGTAATTTAAAAGTGTAAGTTCAATGGAAACCAATATTATCATAATTTGAAAAGGTATTTGCTACACAAACAATGGGCTCGTCGGTCTAAAAGCTAATAATCGAAAAGTCGAACATGTTATTAATAAAAGAATATTTTTCTGAAATAACTTTGACATTTAAAATGTAGGAATATTGAAATTTTATCCGGGTCATGAACCACCATCTTCGAATTAAAAGCCTTAGTATCTCGCGGTTTGGTGCCAGAGAGATTACTAACAACAAACATTTTGCTCGACCGGGCATTCAATCTCAAATACACGCCTACCAACCATAACACCAACGGTTATATTACGCTGTTAAGATGATAACAGCGTAATATAATCATATATAACGATTTTTTGCATTTCAGTTATTATGTACTAAATATGATTACTGGGGTTCTCACTTAATAATTTAATGTAGCATTAAGTTTAGATATAATTCAATTTAAATATACCGCCTAGTTCGTAGCACTGCTACAAGCTACGTGGCTACGCTATCGATCCCGTAGATGCTCTACGATCAGCTACGGAATGTGGTTAAGTTATACAATAATTCTTAGCCTTAGAACCGGTTTCACTAAGAAATAACATTGATTAAGTAACCGACCGTTAAAGTATAGTAATATAAATTATAATGGTATAGAAACATCTAACTGGCTTTTATAATAATTATCATTATATACATTTGGAACATCTAAGTAAGGAGTGTTAAGTGTAAAAATATTTTTTTAAAATACAATAGCTAATACGTATATCTTTCAAATTTATTTTGTAAAACCAGATCATAATAATATTATGTATGACATAAATAGATGGGGCAAAGAAATATTTTTCTCTCTTCTGGTCGATTTCATTATAAATAGAAGACTAGAAAGACTATTTTTATGCGTTTTACATCTATTTACCATTGTAATTATTCGTTACGTTATTCAAAGACTGGAACATGGTACTTTCTGTACTTAATGGTGTTGGTTATACCACTAAACCATAGATGTTTTCGTAAATATATTTTATATTAATAACTCCCCTTACTTAAAAACTTATTAGCAAGCTAACTACGACGTTGATATTAAAAGCACGGAATGTATATCGCTATTTATTCCAACAGCAGCGCTCGTTCCACTAACTTTGGGACATAAATTTTTTAAACTCAGACAAATGGGTCCACGGTCTTACAAACTACCCCTTTGAGGATTCGAATTACGTATACGAATTCTCATTTCGCTCCGAAGCCTAGAAATGTTAGGGTATATTAAATGTAAGATTGATACTTAGTTATTCAGCATACAGGCATATATAATATAATATTATTTTTCACATGTTATTGCACATGATAGCGTTCAATAAATTAAAAATACATTCGTATGCCACTTTTAACAGTTTAAAACGTGAAATATATGAGTTGACTTATTGCTTATTGAATTTGTTTATGGCCTGATGTTTTACGGTAGTTAAATTACATTAAATAAACGTTTAATTTATTGCACGTTTTGATCTTTTAAAAGTGTCCAATATACCACTCGCGTAAACTACAGACGCTAACTTAAATTCGTAAGTGTGTTAATGTTGTAACTACTTTGCGCATTAGGCAAGAATTCGACGATAATGTACGACAAGGTTAGTCAATTTCTCTCGTCTCTCGTCAATTTTTTTTCAATACAAATAGATTTTTATTTATAAAAGATTATGGGATATACCCACAGTGAAACTACCGTTATATATGAGTCAAAGAATAAGCACTTAGGTTGTTCCCGTATCGCTACTGGCTACTGGATCGATAGCGCATCTTATGTAGATGTTATACGTTTCAGCTTTTTTAGATTTAAATTTAAACTCTAGCTTAGTTAAAAATATTAACGCTATATACGCTATAGAAGTCAGGCGTCCGTCCTTCCAAACTTCGAATTTAGAATGTTAGTGGGAAATTTCCTCGAACAATATACATACATTAGTTCTTTCATACAAACGATAGAATTGAGACAAATTGAAGCGTACGTGACGGGAAAGATATCAAGCAATTACGCGTCTCGGCTTCGCGAGAATGAAATATTGATGTTGGTGTTTTGTTCGTAATCGTGAAGTTAAGTTGTAATTAAGTAATAAGTACGCGGTCAATT